GGTGATCTTTACCTGGTGCTCAGTGTGCTCAGCCTCGGCTTGGCGACTGAGCTCACTGATCACCTCGATCACCTTCCTGGCTCCCTGATTGGTCCTTTTAATGATTGCCTCGGGGCGTCCCGCGACCCGAGGTCCCTCCTGTTGGCATATTCGTGACAAAGCTCGAGAGCCTACTGTTGAGACAAGTCTTTGTTGTGCACCCTTTGGCTGCACCGAACCTAAGCACCCTTGAGAGATTACCTTCAACCGAAAGCTGAACCCTAACAGGACAGGGTCCTGAAGTAGGTTCGTTACATTTAATAATGCTAGTTACTTCCTATTATAAATCTAATCTTTTAAGCTGCGAGAAAGTGTCCAATAAGGTATCTTATTTGGGAAGTAAGTATCTACTAACTATATAGGACGGTGCTAATACTATGTACCTCGGCTCCTAGTTAGGGATAACCAAGGTATAGATGCCCAAGTAATGTAACGATCTAAAAACGACCATTGTGCATATACATGTACGTAAATGGACTGGAAACATTAGTTAACTTCTTTTACATCATAGTTTGTTGTTTTGTTACTGCGAATCTTTCTCACTGTGCATTACCCGCTTCCCGCAAGATGCTGCTGGATGGGCATTCTTTACGTACTCCCTCAGGTTCCTTCCGCTTCCATCACAACAATGGGAGTAAGGGCCTCCAATGCCACCCGTACAGTGATAAATGCCCGATGCTCGGGCACATGGAACTCAACAAGCTCGGTCCGTTGGTGCCACCCTTCGGTCCGAGACGCCGGTCCTCGGGTGGTTCAACCCGAGCACCAACCTTTGTTCTCTCTCTCATACCTCAGAGAACGAATATCCGGTTAAAAGAACAAGAGTTACACCATTGAATTTTAGTATACGATACACGGGATTGCCTTCTCACTTAAATAGTTGCAATTACATACACTAAGGTACCCATCAAACAAGAGTATGCACCTTCCACAGTGGGAAACAGTTTCGACGGCAGCAAGAACACAGTGGTATTCTACGGAGATAGGTAGATTCACGCGCTCAGCGTCCCACCACCATCCGAACCTCAAAGCATCAGTTTCCCCTCCAACGCCAAAACCATCGCAACCCACACAACCTGTGCCACACATGATGTCGTCCCAAGTCCATGACGGTCCTCAAGGCGGAAGAAGAAGCAAGAAGAAAAGTAATTGTATACAAACCAGCCAACAATGGATGGCGGGTAAAAGTAGAGCAGGGAAAAAAAGAATCGTCGGGTACCATGGGCCATTATCAGAGCCCTCCCCTCCTCCCGCTAGAATCCAGCCCCCGGACTCCCAACCCCAACGCCGGAAGTGACATGATGGCCCAAATGCACCAAAATTCTTTTTTTGTGTGACTTGAAAAGTCAGCAGTCCCGTCGGCAAGCCTCCGAACACCCCCGTAATAACACCACGTCCACCATCCAACTGACGCCCAACGGTTATCTATCACCACCCTAGAGGTGCGACCCGGTGCCGCCAAAAGCAAAGTTAGGGGGGTAGTTGATGCCGTTAGGACCCATGGTGATGCCCGCGGGCAGGTCCATGACGATTGGCTCGTCGGCGTTGCCACCCTTGTTGTTGTGGTGGTTATCGTTCCGATCGTCACCACCCCTCCTCGCATCACGCCCTCCGCCGCCGCCGCCGTGATGCTTGTCCGCGCCCTTATGGCGCCATCGGCCGCCGGGAGGACCGCCGCCAGCATTGCCACCAACGTTGTTGGGGGGTCCGCCCGGGCCGCCGCCCATGTGTCCGTGGGCGTTGGCCTGTGGGTTGACATGTCCGCCGAAACCGACGGGCGGCTCGTCCTCGGCATGCCTGCTGGATTTGGGCCCGTGGTTACCGCCCTTGTCGGTTTGCATGCGGCGGCTGATGGCCTTGGATGAGACGCCGGCGCCGATCTCGATATCGGGTTCCTCGACGGCTAGCCCGCTGACGATGGGGCGGCCGCCAGAGCCGCCGTAAGGTGCGGTCAGCATCCATTTACGGTCGGCCTCGGTCAGCTTGTGGATGGGGATGATGCTGACGCCACTTTGGTAGTCACTGCAGTCGCGGGGACCAAAACCCACACCCCATCTAGTCTGTCATAGGGCGGATGGTTAGCAAAACAGGCTGTCAATATAAAGAGGAAAGGACCAGGGGGGGCTTACTCTGAGTTGGAAATCCTGGCTGCGCATATCCTCCATGGCGGCCTTGGCCCGCTCGGCGTCCTTGCGGAAGAACATTTTGACAAAGGCATGGCGTTTGTCCTTGTTGACAATGCAAGTTTGGACTTGGCCGAAACGGCTGAAAATTCCACGAAGCTCGCTCTCGGAGCAACTAGAGATAGTTAGCGGGCAATGTTTATCATAGATGAGGGATGCGCAGGCTGCGCGGGAGTGGCTAGTACTGACGTTACACCGCCTACAAAAAGGGTCCGGCTATACACCTTGATGCTGCCGCTGGGAACGGTGTTGTCATATTCGACCCACTTCTCCTGTTGGGACGGTTCCTGTCCCGGACTGCCACTGTGACGCCCATGAGGAGACCGCTGGCGGTAATCCGACATGTGCCCGCGCCGGTCATCTGCACGCCCCCGGCCAGGTGAGCCAGGGCGTCCGTAGTCAAAACCACGGTCATTTGCACGCGATCTCGGAGAACCCCGGTTATCCCAACGGGAAGGAGAGCGCGACCTTGACCTGCCCCGGTGCCGGTTTGGTGACCTCATGCCGTCATGGTAGCTACCCCGATCACGGGATTCGTCAGGTCGAGGTGCGTCCCAAGGGGCAGGGCCACCACCAACTGGGGGAGGTGCTGCGTAACCTGTCTGGGTGGGCTGGGGCATCTGGGGTGGAGGTGCCGCGGGCATGGTGCCGGTTTGGCCCATCATCTGAATTACGCTCGCGATCTTGTCAATGGGAATACCCTGGGCGGCCAAGGCTGCAACAAGTTGTACGGTCGCAGCAGCTGGGTTACTTGGGCCGCCCTGCTGTGGCGGAATACCGCCCGGGGCAACCGGTGCGGCTGGAGGCCCTGCCTGTGTCGGCATCGCCAGTGGAAATGTGAATGGCAGTCCTGGTACATTTACAGGATGGGCAGGCGCTTGAGATGTCTGGAGGTACGAAATGCCTGGCTGCGCTGGAAGAGGCGCCGGGGCAGCCTGCATAGCGGCATTACTAGGCAAACCACCGGGTGCACTGAACACGGGTGCCGTAGCCGGGGTGGACGCCGGCGCTAAAGCTGCCAGGTTGGGATTACTCTGCGCAGACGAAGCATTCTGCCGGGCAATGCTTGCAAGTTTGTCCAGAATGATGTTCGGGACTGCTTGGTTTGCCGGTGGCGCTGCCACTTTGCTACCAGAACCAAGCGAGGCTAGGAGGTTGGGAGGCGGGCTGCCGGGAGGTGTTGTCGATGCATCTGTTGACAGGGGTATGGTTAGAGCAAATTGTAGGCCGAGGCGGCGTGCGACAGAGCAAAGCGGTGAGGACATTCTTGGGATGAACCTACTCGTGGGTCTCAGCGCATTCAATCTTTCCTTGAAGGAGTTGACCATGGAAGCAGGGAATGTCTGTCCCTTCTCCCAGATATCAACCAGTTTCCTTAGCTTTTCCTACAGGTAATAATCCTTGTGAGTGTCCATCCATCATGAAAATAAAAGTACGAGGTCTCAGAACGCAAGTGAGATGGGTCCCGAGGCAATGCCCTCGGCGAGACTCTTGAGTCCTGGTAATCCCAGCAATCCGCAATCCGTGAATAAGGGTCGGTCATCCTGGGCTCGCCTCACACGTTGCTGGTATATTCCTAGGAATCAGGTTGCATTCAATGCGATATTCTCTGCGTACCTTTTGGTCTTCTGGTGTCGTAGCAATGATGTCGTTCATCAAGATGGGGATCAGTTCTGTTACTCTATTCACACCCGCAGCGAATGTCCCGTCTGGCGCCGAGATGCTCGGTGTTTGCCCTTGAGCTTTGGCCTGATCCAACCATTTCCTTGTTACAGAGTCTACGACGTAGAGTACTCCCAGTTTGTGCGTGCCGGGTGTCTTCTTGAAATGGGTGAATAGCTTTTGTATCAGGACCGATTCATACTGTGAAGGAGGGGATGTTAGCTCAACAACCGTGCCGCACAGGACTTCGAGTGGGTTCGTGGGTGCGTGGGTGCGTGAATGCGAAGGTTCGTGTGGACTTGTTATCGCTTACCTGAACGTTGGCGACACATAGCGCCGTGATATTTGTGATTCGTGATCCAGACACTCCTGGTGGCTTCAGCGAGAGCATGCCCTGCAGGCCGGCTTCCAGCTCTGCTACAACTGGCGACGCCATGGCGAAACAATGGCAGGTGATGTCGGATCAAGAGTTCTTTGACGGAGCGCGTGTTTTTCGCGAAAAGTAAAGTACGATAATTGCCCCAAGTTGTTAGGCGAAAAGGTCTATGCCATGCTCCCAAGTCACGAAAGTACGGTGCCTGTCGAGGAGATCCAGCCTTCGTTGGTTGCACTCTTTTGTGGGAATGCAATCAACAGATTACGAAACTTCGACGAGAGCGAGAGGAATGACGCGAATGGCCGGTTTAAAGGGGTGGTGAAAAGGCGCAAAGGAAAAATCTTTGGCCCGGAATACTGTGATGCCGCTCCTGCAAAAACCGCGTCGGCACCAGCAAATTCTGCCCAGTGCGGATAGTATTTCAACCAGCTGCACCAGTCACGAGGTCGACCTCTAGACTAGCAAGTTTGCACCGGGGCTACTGTGATTTGTGTGGAATTGATGAAAATGGGTTCGGATAGATTGTTGTGAGAAAATTTGATGGGGTCGCGACAAGCAACAACGCCAGTTCTTTGTGGGATGGAGGAGGAGGGGGAGCCCAGACAAGAGAACTCAGGGCGACCTTTTCATGGCATGGTTCGTTTGACCCACATTTGTCTGAGCCAGAGTTCGGGCTGCCGGTTGACTAAGCCGGATGTCTGGCGGCTGGTACGTACCAGAACAAAACCCCTCCGGTCGCCCAGGAGAATGACCGAGAAGCCGACGGACACAGCCCGGGCAGGACACCAACAAACCGTTTTATAGCACAGTACGGATGTTTGTTCAAGCACGAAACAGTTTTCTCGGGCCGGGTCTGTGGATGCCAATTGATTCCCTCACTCCACATCCATAATACCAATTCGGCCTACAAGATCGGTAGCATCATATGAATATTCCTAACCTTCAATTAATTGGTTCGCGGCCTCTCTTCGTTGTTGGTTGTTGGGGTGAGTGATGCGCCCATTCCACCAAAAGCCGTGACGTCAATGGCCACAACGGGCAGCAGCTCAAAAAAAGCATGGACCACTTGTGTTGTTGTTGGGGACAAAAAGTGTGTGCTGTCTTTGCAAGAGGAAAGAGCTGGCAAAGATCCCAAGACAGGTACATATTCTGTAGGTATATCAGATAATTCATCTGGTACCAGAATGGCCATTCTCTTGACTTGAGGAACCCATACGGGTAAGATCGGGAATTGCGCCCTGGGTACGGATGTTATAGGATGCGGGAAACAGGAGGCTAGGTGTTGGCATTTGCAGTGATGTTTTGGGGGGGGCGCCTTGGTCCCGAACCCCGGTTGGTCCGCGTGTTGCAGGTGCCGCCCCCATGTGTCCGGCCGGGGGTTGCGTTTTTTTTTTTTAAACTAAGCTTGATCACCCGAAAGTTTTCTCCCCTTCCTTCCTCACCTCCTTGACAACCACCCAAGCCTCACATCTCAGATACCAAACATGCCTCCCGCTATGCGCCTAGCGACCTCCACCATGAGGGCCTCCCTGAAGGCACCCTCGGTTTTTTACAGAAACACCGCCTTCACGGCCGCCAGATGCTACTCCTCCAAGAGCCAGGTACGCCTCGCCCCGTTTTTGCCCTCTGCAGCCTGACATCATTTATTGACCGTGTAACCTGCATCTAGACATTGAAGGAGCGCTTTGCCGAGCTTCTGCCTGAGAAGATTGAGCAGATCAAGGCGTTGAGGAAGTATGGAAACCCTTTCCTATTTCACTAATTGGTTCCTTGGAGTTGTGTGTACCTTGCTGACACGCTGCCACAAATAGGGAGCACGGTTCCAAGGTCATCGACAAGGTCACTCTCGACCAAGTATATGGCGGCGCTCGTGGCATCAAGTGCTTGGTGTGGGAAGGTTCCGTCCTCGACGCCGAGGAGGGTATCCGTTTCCGAGGCAAGACTATCCCCGAGTGCCAAGAGCTCCTGCCCAAGGCCCCCGGTGGCAACGAGCCTTTGCCCGAAGGTCTCTTCTGGCTTCTCCTGACCGGCGAGGTCCCCACCGAGCAGCAGGTTCGCGAGCTGTCGGCCGACTGGGCTGCCCGCTCCGAGATCCCCAAGTTCGTTGAGGAGCTCATCGACCGCTGCCCCACCGACCTCCACCCCATGGCCCAGTTCTCGATGGCCGTTACCGCCCTCGAGCAGACCTCGTCGTTCGCCCGCGCCTACGCCAAGGGTGTGCACAAGAGGGACTACTGGGGTTACACTTTTGAGGATTCGATGGACCTCATTGCCAAGCTCCCCACCATCGCCGCTCGCATCTACCAGAACGTTTTCAAGGGCGGCAAGGTTGTCCCCGCTGAGAAGGACAAGGACTACGCCTACAACTTCTCTAACCAGCTCGGCTTCGGCAACAACACCGACTTCATCGAGCTCATGCGTCTCTACCTCACCATCCACACCGATCACGAAGGTGGCAACGTCAGCGCCCACACCACCCACCTGGTTGGCAGCGCCCTCAGCTCTCCCTTCCTGTCCCTGGCTGCTGGCCTGAACGGTCTCGCCGGCCCTCTGCACGGCCTCGCCAACCAGGAGGTGCTCAACTGGCTTACGGAGATGAAGAAGGTCGTCGGTGACGACCTCAGTGATGAGGCTATCACGAAGTACCTCTGGGACACCCTGAACAGCGGCCGCGTCGTTCCCGGCTACGGCCACGCCGTCCTCCGCAAGACCGACCCGCGTTACTCTGCCCAGCGCAAGTTCGCTCTGGGTAAGTCGACCCGGACCCCCCCCCCCCCCGGCCCTCGTTCTGAGCCGCCAAATACATATGAAAACGGTTACTGATCCCCTCTACAGAGAAAATGCCCTCGGACCCCATGTTCAAACTGGTCAGCCAGGTCTACAAGATCGCCCCCAAGGTTCTTACCGAGCACGGCAAGACCAAGAACCCGTACCCCAACGTCGATGCCCACTCTGGTGTTCTCCTCCAATACTACGGCCTGACTGAGGGCAACTACTACACTGTCCTCTTTGGTGTCTCGCGCGCCATTGGTGTGCTCCCCCAGCTTATCATTGACCGCGCTGTTGGCGCCCCCATCGAGCGGTAAGCAACCCCCACGCACTGAATGCGACTCCGAATAATTCCGCTGACATGATAATGTGTGCAGCCCCAAGAGCTTCTCGACCGACAAGTGGGTCGAAATCTGCAAGAAGCTGTAAGCGGTTGTAATATTGGCGCAATGCGCGCATAGGGTTGGGTTGTTGGGCACGGCGCGATGGGTTCGTTTACGGTTATATCATGTATAGAATGGATGGGATATCTGAGCGGTTTCTGCAGCCCGGCACGGAGGTTGACTGGGCGGATGGCTATCCATTGCGATTGTACGATACAGTTTCCGTACTCCGGGCCCAAAAGATGAAAAGTTCACGACTAGTACGAATAAGCACTCCGATTCCGAGCGTAAGGTCCGGGATGATGCAGGTCGGCAAATGCATGCATCGCTGACCGCGCATGTATCCGTCTCCATTTCGCGGTCCTCCGGCCTCGGGGCACCGAGAGCATCGCTCCGAGAGAGTGCCTCGGAGGATTGCCCGAAGGGGCTTCCTTCGCCCCGCTCGGTTTGAGCTCCTGTCATCCAGCCAAGTAGCTGTCCCGATCAGCTCGATCGGATCGATCAATTGAACTCGAGACACGTTGAAACGCAGAGATTTTTTTCGCATACGTGTAGAACAGCGGTCTAGATATTGCGTAGGCGGTGATGCCACGAGCCCGAAGTCGCACACAAATCGGAACCCATATTCTAAAAATCGTTACCCCAAATCCCAGTCCGCGAAGATCGTCCCAACCCCAAGCGGGATTGCGTTGAGCTACCGAGGAAGGCGTTGAGGGATCCAGGGGTGGTTAGCCAATGAGAGACGTCTGTTGAGGGTTGACGCCTCCCCCCTGGCTATGCACAAAGGGCCCGAACCGGGCAAGCACCATCGCCCGATGCCCGACAATTCCAAAGCCATCAGCAATTTTTTCGGGTGTTCCAGGGTGTCAGCCTCAAAAGTGCGTCCCGTTCGGTCCCCCGACTGTTTCCGATTCCTTCACAACCATCGCCAACTTCCTCGCTGTCGAACATTCGCATCAATCGCGAGTAATCCGCAATCGAAGAGCATCTCGAACTGTAAGTGTGGACCCTGAATTGTCGCATTGCCCGCGCTGCCCGCTTTGCCCGCATTGCCGCGGGTATACAAACGAACCTCGCCCCGGGATACTCCTCTTTGGGCAGCAGCCGCCAGTCGAAACCCACAATGATGAGCGCCCATCGGTAACACGTGCAAATTAGGGTCCTTCTCGAACCGATCCATCAAGCAACCCGCCTGCCTCCCGAACAACCGTCTATTTCTTCCGGAGAGTCTTAGAGACGCACATCTGCCAACCCGTTCAGCCACCACAACTCTCTAGACTCCGTCTTTCTCGCACCACCCCGCGCACTCCCTCCCCCGCCCGCGAAGAAGCAACCTCCTCCCTTGGTCAGGGCCCCTTTGTCGCAACATCCGCATAGTCATGTCCGCCGCTGTCGCCCCCGCCCCGGCCTCGCCGCCGCAGAAACTGGAGAAGAAGCCCATCAAGTTCTCCAACTTGCTGCTGGGCGCTGGGCTCAACATGTTTGAGGTCACCACCCTCGGTCAGCCCCTGGAGGTCACCAAGACCACCATGGCCGCTCACCGCAGCGATGGCTTCGCGACAGCTTTGGGCCGCATTTGGAACCGCGGTGGTATTCTCGGCTGTAGGTTACATCGCCCCGGTCCACATAATTAATTCCGAATCGTTCGGCTTTGAACCGCTACTGACATGGGGGTTTCTCCTTCACAGTCTACCAGGGTTTGATTCCGTGGGCTTGGATCGAAGCGTCGACCAAGGGCGCCGTGCTGCTCTTCGTCGCCTCGGAGGCCGAATACTATGCTCGCAACGCGGGCGCCAACGAGTTCGGTGGCGGCATCATTGGCGGCGTGACTGGCGGTGTTGCCCAGGCATACGCGACCATGGGCTTCTGTACCTGCATGAAGACGGTCGAGATCACCAAGCACAAGGTGGCGGCTGCGGGCCAGAAAGCGCCCGGTACCTGGGCTACCTTCATGGATATCTACCGCCGTGAGGGTATTCGCGGCATCAACAAGGGTGTCAACGCCGTCGCCATTCGCCAGATGACCAACTGGGGCTCCCGTTTCGGTTTGAGCCGGCTCGCCGAGCAGGGCATCCGCAAGGTCACCAACAAGGAGCACGGCGAGAAGCTGAACGCCTTTGAGAAGATCACCGCCTCGGCGCTTGGTGGTGGTCTCTCGGCCTGGAACCAGCCCATCGAGGTCATCCGTGTCGAGATGCAGAGCAAGAAGGACGACCCCAACCGTCCCAAGAAGATGACCGTCGGCAACACGTTCAAGTACATTTACGACAGTAACGGCATCAAGGGCCTGTACCGCGGCGTCGCGCCCCGCATCGGCCTGGGTATCTGGCAGACGGTGTGCATGGTTGCCATGGGTGATATGTACGTCCCTTTCTCCCTTGCTGCCCATTCTAATGTAGCATTGTTAACTCTTCAAAACAGGGCGAAGACGTATGTCGAGAAGCTTACGGGCGACAAGGTCACCGCGAAGCACTAAGCGGCATTCGTGTTGTGATCTTGAGTTGACCTCTGAATGGGGGATACCACTTGCCGATTCTATTCCTTGCTTGATTTTTTACAAGAGCGGGCGGTTCGGCAGGCTCTACACGACTTTTATAATACGGGCTATGACCAGCGGTCATGCGTGGGCGGGCCAATATAGACTTGCTTTTTCTGTTACTCGACCCAGCCGTTGATTATTTTGTGACTACAACCTCAGACACGCCCTATCGTGATCAGGAATTGCCATGCGGTATTGGTCTCGTCGGATGAGACAGCACGAGCGCATCTCTTGGAACCCCTGTACCAGAGGCCAAGTCCTACTTTTACCCCCGCCCCTCTTCTTACGTCGACCAGTGAACCATGACAACTTACAACTTACAACATAATACGGAAAGACCCCCATGAATATCTGTTATCCCACCCTCCATTCCCTCCCAGGAAACCCTTGAAAACCGGTTTAAGTTGTTAGAAAAGTTGTTTGTAGATGCCCCTTGGACTAAAAGGGGCGTTGGAGATGTGAAAGGGAATCGTGGACGAGGGGGTGGCCTTTTCTGTTGGTACTTACACGGCCGAGCTATCCCGGCGTTGGGATTGTCTGCCGCCCGGCGTGAAGGCTTGGGACTTGGGGCTTGGGGCTTCGGGTATGGGGTATGGGACCTGGGCCTGAGGCTGAGTTTGAGTGTTGTGTGCGCGGATGAATGAGGGAGAGGAGGGTGGTAATGGTTGGTGAGGTGGTTTGGGGGGCTCAAGAGTCAAGATGGGTGAGTGGGAATGGTGTCATTTACTAGGCGTCTGTTACCCGGAGAAGTCTCGATTGTGGCATGTTGGGAATAATGAAGTTATGTTTGCGACGTCTACTGGGTGACTAGACGGTGGTTGTGGTTATGAACGGGCACCTCGATTGTCGGGGTATAAGTCTGGTGCTGTTTATTGTATGTTTTGATCTCGGGGTAGGTATAGGTAGAGATAAAGTGATGGCTAGGGGTGGATTCGAGCTGAGTGAGAATGAGGAGTGCTACGGTGAGTGAACCTAGGTTGATGGAGCCGTCAATGTAGCACTGGTACTTATTGATTCGGATTTTATTGCCTTGTACACAAAAACAGGTTGGATGTGGACGATTGTCGAAAGATGTCTGATCATATCCAATGTGTTGGCCACGATGGTTTAGGGGATGAAGGAACGTATACCCGTGGCGCCGCCCTCGTAATCTATACCCAACGGGCCGGTGCGGTGCCGAGGAGGGCACCCAACATCCAACCGAGCCTATTATAGCCGCTGACTGTTGACCTTCTATATCTACTTAAGTTCGTAACATGGCCTCAAAACCAGACTGCCACAATAAGCAACGAGAGCAAGCTAATATGTGCCAGTCATCACTTGGGCTCGAAACACCTTTAACTAGAGATTCCTTCACATCAGTATCTTCTTTTCCGTGTCTAGGGCAGACTCGAGTTTGACAAGAGCTATAGACTTGCGACGGCATTTCTCTCTTGAATAGTATGAGTATTCAACGATACATAAAATGTTGCCTAGCTTGTTATGCCTGCCATTCACTAGTACCTCTTCGAAGCGAGAGATAGGTAACTCTGTATGGTTACCTCTCATATCCATTCTTTCCACATCTATATCTCTCGGCCCGTTGCTCTGTTTTACGGGTTTTATTACTGATCATTCGCTTCGCGGGTCTATAACTCGAAACACAAGCCCAAGCCCTGTATCTCTCAGTCTTCAGTGACATGGTGGAATCTCGTCCTGTTCATTGACGGATTATCTCAGACTGATACACACGAGTCAGGCCCCGTGGTGCCCTCCAAGCCAAAACCCTCGACGTTACAAAGAAGTATCTCGGCAGACGTCATGCTTCATCCCCAGGAAGAACCACCATGGGGCGGGTACTTCCGTAACGGTCGTTGTATGTTCTAACATCCTTGTTTTCTCCGGCCCGAGTTGTTTTCGAAACCGCTGGGTTTAACTCCAAGTTTCGTATGCGAAACAAACAAAGCACGTTATCGGGATCTACAGAGTTCGCCGGGTTGCCACCCGGAAGCCCCCCCGAGTCAGGAGCCGGCCCGGCATCGGCTCCTGACCTCGGAGCCGCCGACGTAGGGGAAGCATGGTGATGAGGCAAACACAAACCGTTTGACGCAACATGGGACGATAATTGAGCACCTTGATGTCACCTGGCTTCATTGATGATCTCGGTGATGCCGATGGTACGGAGGTTCCGGCTATGGGGTGGAAGGCAAGCAGCCATGACGAGTCGGGCGGCATCATAGAAGGCGGCATTGTTACCCAGTTTTGGGGTATGGTTGAAGGGATTGGATTTCTTGAGACATGGAGCGGGGGCAGAAGTTCAATCTCCAATTGGTGAACTCAAGAAGAGATGCGAAAGAGGCCACGATACGCGACTATAACTGCGTTCGGCCGCGGAGCAATCTAGTCGAGACAAATGCTATATGACAACTGGAACATATTGAACTTGACACAAGCAGACACAAGAGTGAAAGCACACGTATGGTTACTCAAACAACAAACCATGTGAACCATCCCCAGCCATTAGCGGTGACAATCCTCGACCCAAGGCAAGACAACCCAGGACGACAGTAACACGGTCAGCCTTGCTTCGGCCATAAAACGCTGTACTCGACAATAAAACATGCTCCTCTCCCCTCCACCCGGGTGTTTTCATTCTCCCAGGCAGCACCCCGGCAACGTGAACTAAGATGACCCCGGCTTATATTCATCAAACGCCTCGGAGATGGCACGAAACATCGAGAAGGAGCAAAAACAAGGGGCTCCATGGTGTTTTGGTTTCCACTTTCTTCTTCAATGACCGAGCGGAGTGTGAGCGGAGTAAACGAAGCCATGCAAAGAAAAAAACCCGAGCCGTCTTGTTTCCAGAAGAAGCTGAGAGAAACGAAAAGGGGAAACCGACTCCACGCACCCGCAAAACTGAAAGGGGCCCCGGCCTGTGATATCACGAAAGGGCAATGAGTGACACACGCATTCACGTTTTTCCGGCGTCTTGGGAATCAGCGTTTCTGGATAGGTCAAAAAAACCATCCGATACGTTCCCTCGTTTAGTTGTATTACAAGGATGGCAATAAGCCGGTAATAAACGCCTCAAAACAGGAAACGCGAGCCGGAGAAAGGCAGCACACCCAAAACCGAACCGGAGAATTCCACCCCCAACATCGACGCGGAGAAAGCCTAAAAAAAAGGGTACGTGCCCAATCCCGAACTCCGACCGACTTTTTGGTGAAATAACCTTAGCTGGGATATCGCCGAAGTGCCGCGAGACGACGAGCGAGCGCCGAAGTCCCCAGGCGCTCAGCTTTGCAGCCAAACAGCCGAGACACCCTCCCACCGCCGCGGAAGCGGAAACCGGCACGCGACAGCGCCGATGTCTCCATGAGAGCCAATCTCTCTCTGTTCTGTTGGTTTTCAATATTTGCCTCGTAACTTTACATAGTTACTGGCAAGGCCACGGTTGACCGAGACTCCTCTTTCCCCCAATCGGGCCGCTAGTTTAACTGTTCCCCCCCTGGTGCATAAAGCGCGCAAAATGAGGTCTTTTCGAGCCGAGCTGGATACTGGAGCTGGCCTCCGGGTCTGGAACCAGTAACTATTGCGCTGGGCTGAGAAGACACGGGAAAGCATGAATTGCTAGTTGGCTACTTGCAAGCTGTCTTGGTGCACTAGGCTCGCTAGGTCAGGGTGGGTTAGGAAGAATAATCAGCCAGAAATGAGCTGATAGGGTAAAATGTTCAAGTCACGGAAAGAGGTGCTAATTGTTGAATGTCGGCGGCCGATAAGCGAGGCTCTGCTACGAGACAGACCCCTGGATTCGATCCTGGGGGTGGGGGAGGGGCGCCAGCTCGTTGCCTCAAGAGTTGGGGGTCGTCGCGAATTGCCTCATCACCGGTCGGTTCTTTCCGCCCTCGCCGACCTGGCTTGCTCTGGGGTGCGAGGCGAGGCGAGGTAAGGCGAGTGGTGTCACCTGCCCGATGATCCTCCATCCGGCGTGGTGTTGGTTGCAGCTTGTCAGCCCCGAGGAGAAACTGCCTGGCATTTGGATGCCTGGTAGGCTGGTGGAATGCTGCCGGGGTCAGAAGCAGGCTTTATACACCCAACCACTTTTCCTTGCGGGTTTGCCTCCCTGAAAATAGAGCGGCTCCTGCGGATGACAGCAAGGCCAGGTGGTTTTCAGCCCGCCCATGGGGAACACAACCTCATCGGGATGCCGTTCGGAGGCACAGCCGTTGACTAGCGTGTTTTGCGCCTTGTCGTTTTTCCAGCCACCCAACTCTCGTGATGCTCCTCACTTGAGGGTAAGCTTGCGGCGAAGTTGCCCTCGTGCTCAGTCGTCCGTCCCATCCCCCACTAGTAGTTGTTTTAGGAAATGTTGAAGGCTGGGAATGACATTGGAGGATGGCCAAGCTGGAACGTCTGACGAGCCGGCGCTCAATAGCAGCCAACGTCAACCCTCGATGCCACTATGCCACTATCTACACGAGACGAGACCCCTTGCTCAACGTGAAAAAGCCACAGGTCTAGACTAACCTGGGGGTGTATTGCGTTTGACAGCATCGGTCTTGTGTCACTTGAATGAAGCCCCAAGACAAACACCAACAGAGCCAAGGAGCCAAACCGTGAACCAAAGCATCGCAACACCTCGCCCGCCAACGCAGCACCAATGACAGCCAAACAAGAGCAAACGGCGGAGCACAGCACGGAGCACCACGACGGTGTGGGTTTGATGGAGAACGGGAGGAGACGGACGGAAACGCGTACCTGCATGCATGTGGATTTGGGACATGCACAAGGGCAGCCAGTGACCAGTGGCAGCCCATTTTCGATCGGCGAATGAGCGCTGGCCTCGTCACTCGACAGCTTCCTTCTTTGGGCAGGTTCGGCAGGAGTCCTGGACGACGACCGGAGAAACCAAACAAAACAAGAGCCTGAGAGACTGACTTTTGAGAGTCCTGGCCCACTTTCATGGATGCCACCTCCCGGGGACGGGGCTCCATCGCGAGCAACCCAACAAATCCCGTTCTTGCAGCTTTTCGCTCGCCGACGACTGGCTCGTTTTGGCGAAGCGGGTTCCATCGCTGTCGCTCACCGTTCGCAAGGCTAAAACGAGTTGGGCTGTCGGTGATGCACCCCACGCCCAACGCCAAACGGAATGCGCCCGGACTCACTTCCGCAAGGTTTTCTACCGCCATTTTCTGCTTGACGCCCATTGCACTGTTGCTTGGCTTCGAATCGATGACATGAGTGGAATGGAGAATGCGGGGAAGGAAGGCAGGGGCTTGGGGTTCTGGGCCCATCTTGGCGATGGGATTTGAGGGAATTGGCGATTCTTTTTGAGCGACGGTGAACGAGAACACCCGTCTTGGAAGCTCTTTCTCTTTTTTTTTTTTTTTTTTTTTTTTTTTTTTTTTTTGGCCGTACGCACGTAAACGAAAAAACCACACCCACGCTCGCGGAGTCGCCTGTATCGATACTGATGGACACGATTGCAATGTCCGAGGATGCCCGCAAAGCGGGCCCAGATAGCTCCTGAACGGATGGCGAGTGGGAAACTGTGAAATTGAAACTCCTCCTGCGGTAGAGCTGCCGAGCAATGGCCGCCGGCAGCATCGTGAAAGTTGCAGCAGGCAGGGTCTTCTTTGCATAAGTGGGGACAAACTGATCCACCACACGTGGAGAGTGATTTTTTTTTTTGTGCAGACAGCTCGGATCCGCGCATCGCTGGATGGGGCGGTGGGTCTCTTCCTCCAGGCTCAATTGCCAAAGAAATCTTGGCCATGGTCCGTGTCACAACGGGCCAACCACACCACGCCGTCGCCATTATTGAAAAACGCGCTCCGGCCGTTCTTCTTGGTCGTTCTCTGAGCGTTTGCTTCCGTGGCGAACCTGCGAGAATGCCTGCCTCCGTATCCCCCGGGGGTGCCGTCGAGGATTGCCACTGGCGGAAGCGACGTCGGTCGCTGGCCGAAGACGGCAAACTCGCCCCCCACGCCGCACGGGATCGGCAAGCGACACTCGGCGTCAGAATGGTTGGGGGTGATGGGCCGGTGAGCCGGCTGCTCCGTGCTTAGCAGGCTCGAGTGCATGCTGAATGATGAAGTCCCGTTCCCGCCTTCGCGGCCGGGTGCCCAGAATACTGGATGCAGCTATACCTCTGATGCATGGAAAATCCGAGGATAGTGTTTTGCCCACCCGCCTTGTTGAGCCGCCCCCAGTCCCCCAAGACTATGCGAGGAAGTTCCCCGCAAGCAGGATCAACAGAAACCCACTCCCGCTGGAACGGCCGCCGCAACCCGCTGCCATGTCGCTCCATTGGTTACCAGAGACTTTTGGCTGGATTCAGTTGGCTAAAGGTTATGAGAAAAGGACTCAACATTGCACCTAACTTCCCAGACCGCCATTTGCGGGATAATGTGCCGCCTTTGACGGGATTGATCGCCTGCAACCCTCCGTTCTTACGTAGAGGCTCGGTGCACCCGGATTTGGGGGTCCCGATTGCCGCAGGTAATCTGTCTTCGCAGACGACAAGCACTCTTCCAGATCTCGGCACCAAGAAGCCCAGAACTATGTTTGTATGACCACCCGCTGAAGGATCGCAACTTGTCGCGTGCTTGGCAGCTGCTGTGAAGATCGAGATAACAAGATCGAGCAACGGCCAGTTCGATCTTTTGATAAGAGTTCCGGTTGGCCGCCTTATGCTCACATCCCAATTTCATCCAAGGTGCCAAGCGGGTTGGCTACGCGCCTCTTTGAATCTATAAGTCTGGGCGTTGTCGTACCCCAGATGGTGACAACCGTCTTGGAGAGCTTCGTTCCCCCGAATCAGCTTTCCACGTTGGACTTGGCTCGAGAAACCTCCACACACGCCATCCAGTAAACGTTATCCTTATCTTGCTTCCATTGAAGTCCCTGATCGCCCGTCAAAATCCCGCTCGCTCGTCGCAATATCCCCGGCCTTGTCGTTGTCTGGTTCCGGCGCCACGACTCGGGTCATGCAGCCACAATCGGCCGGCACTGGAACCCCTGTGGGGGAGCACGGGGAGCTGTCGATTCGAGTCTGGGGTTTTGGAGGGGCAGGGCTGGGCAGCCTTGAGGGCTCGAACGCACCAATGTCTGGCGCTGAGAGAGGTGGCGGATTAGCTACTCGCCGTCAATCGGGAATCCCGAGAATCAAAAACATAAGGGGAATCGATATAGAGGGGGCGAGAAGTTAGAGCTAGAAAATTTTCGATAACGCTCCGGAAGGGTCGGCCTGCCAAAGTGAAGCGTGAAGGTCTCCACGATGCGAAACTCTGCAGTTCGAGGCGTTGGTTTGGGGCAATGTACATGTAAAAATGACGTAGCGAAACCGGTCATGGCCTCGGCACTTCCGCTTCAGCCGATCCTACACACCCTCTTTGGGCGGCGGTATCAAGGATCCGGCTGAAAAGCCAATTGCGCGAATTCGCCATGACGTTCGCGATCGCTTCCCCCGGTGGTTAGTGCTTCGCCGACAGAAAGGCCATGCTGCGGCCTGGACTTGCGCTCTTTGTCAAAAGCGCGCATGGCAATGGCACCTGGCTTTCGGGTATGCCCGCATGCTTCGCCAGTTCTTAATTGATGAGCAAACAAACAAATGGCTCGTTGCCCCATCCTCCCGTGGGTGAGTGAGCCTCCCGGCTCCACACTCGGATCAGTCAGACTCGCGGGGACCCTGAACCTGGGATGCGCCGTGCCGCCGCCGCGAAGGACGAGGGGGCGAGAGCGAGCAAGCAAGCAAGCAAGCTGCCAATGCAGTCTGTTCGATTGGCACTGCTGTTCGTGCTTGGCACGCCGGTATCGTACTGTTCGTTACCGCGCTCTTGTGTTCTTTACTGTATCAATATCCCGTTGTTTCTAGCAAGGATGGTCTCTTCGACCAGTAGGAAAATGACATTGCGTGCTGCTACCCATGGGAACCTCGCCCAGCCGCAGTCAAAGCGATGCAACTGCTTCATGGATACTCCTCGCCCAGGACTTCTTCCATGGCGAACGGGCAAAGCTTGTCAATTTTTCATCGGCCCGTGCGGTTTCACGTTTCGCCAAGAGCGCGATCGAGAAGCTGATGCCCAGGCAAGTGTTTTGCCGGGCAAGAAACGGTGAAACCTGCCCTGGCCTGCCTGGCAGGTTCCGTGAGACTGTCAATCGAACTGATGACTGAGAGCCAATCCGGTTCCGACTGGCGCGAATTAGTGTAGTGTATATCGCCCTGTCGAGCAAAAACGCCTAGAAGAGAAGCGAACCCGAACTCACACACCGCATCATCGTGTAAATTTTCCAGAATCCTGTGTAATGTGTAATGTACCCAAGGTCGGTAACCCACCTGGGCGAGATGCACACGGTTGTGAGCAAGCTCGAGAGGAAGCGCGGAGGCACAGTCAGAAAATCCCGCAGACTGGGTTGTTGAGGCGGTACCTCGGTGGGAAGCTGCAACCAGGTACCGGTCGCGAGGGATTTGCAGCCAAGGCAAACATAGAGTGGAGAACAAGTACCAGTTCGGCTTGCACGGTTCAGGTAGCTCCCTGGACATTGCGACTTACAGCCGGGGTGCCCACTTTCAGTCCTGGCAGACAGGGACCCCCGGCTGCCCCCCAATGCTTGGGGTCACATCACATCGATTTCCGGCTGTGGACAGTGTGAATTGAAACCGAAAAAAAGCCCGAGACAGCTCCAGCACGCAAAGAACGCTGGTTGGACCGAGCCACGCCCAGTGCCAACAGCGTCGCACACCGTAGGGGCTGGAGATACCCGACTCGCATCAACGCCGCCAGTGGCCGGGCGCCCAGGTGCCATTCTTCGGCGCGACGGGGATCCACCTCTCGTCAGTGGCCAACCTGGGAGCGTTAGGAAGGTTCGCTTGGGGGCGCTGGCGTAACAATCCCGCGCCGTGGACGGCGTTGGAGAGAAAGAGGGTAGCGTTTTATCGGTGCAGGGACAAGGTACGTTGATTACGGAAAGTGGAAAGTGAGTTGAGCTTTCGGGCGTGGGCCGAACTAACGAGCCTTCCTCCCGTGGTTCGTGCAGCGAGCAAGCAAACGTTGAAATACGCCGGTCACCCACCCGCTCTTCCCCCCGAAGCTCTCTTTCCTTTCCTTTTTTCCTTTACGCACGGAGGTCCTTCTAAAACTCCCTTCGACGTGAGGTCTCGCTTCTCCCCTCGAGTCCGCCCTCTCCGCTCTCCATCCACACCTGTCCGGTCTTGGTCGATCTGGGCGATTGCACCTTGCCGTGGCCCGAATCAAACGGTCATCGTCTGAAAAATTCCTCGCGCTTATCACCGACCACCCGCCCACATAAATACCTCTGTAATTCGCGTGGACGCGAGCTCTCAAAACAACCACCCCGATTTACCATCGCCCTTTAATTCTTCACGCGCCCCATTCTGAGCGCCCAACCCACGTCGACAACCCGTGAGCCCTGCGCAGAGCTTTATCTGCCGCAACAACCGCGCCAATGGCCGAACACTCGACTACCGGCGCACCCGCGCTGTCGACCGACATTGAGAGCGGAAAGTTTGACGAGAAGGCACCCCACCACGACGTCCCCGCTGCTAAGGCGCCTCTCGAAGAGGAGGAGGAGGACGAGGACATTGATGCTCTCATTGATGATCTCGAGAGCCACGATGGCCACGACCAGGTAAGCCATTTGAACCCATTCGCACGCAATCCGCCCCGCGCCGAGCATTCGTGCCACCCAATCGCAAGCTTCAATTGGGCAGCGTGCCATCGTCGCGGTTTTCGCCCAGAAATACTGCTGGCGCGTCGCCGTCGATCTGTCTGCGCTGCCCGATGGATCCGCGACTCGCACCATCACATCACATCACAATTCCATCACTTCAATCGCAACCGAATGCTGATAATTAGCTTTGCAGTTCGAGGAGGAGGAGGATGTCACCCCCGGTGGCGCGCGTGTCGTCCCCGAGGACATGCTCCAGACCGACACCCGTGTCGGTCTCACCAGCGACGAGGTCATTCAGCGTCGTCGCAAATATGGTCTGAACCAGATGAAGGAGGAGAAGGAGAACTTGCTTCTCAAGTTCCTCGGCTTCTTCGTGGGCCCTATCCAGTTCGTCATGGAGGTACGTCGAACCCCACAAGGCGCTGTGCTCTGGCGCAGCATCCTTGAAACGAAACATTTCCCCACTTTCCGCTTTGAACTTTATGCTAACTCGTCATGAACCAGGCCGCTGCTGTCTGTACGTATTTGCCCGACCCGTCGTCTCATATTCCCCCACACCCGACGCCTTTTGAGGTTGCATGCTGGGGAGCCAAACGGCTTTCCTGCATGTGGATGAGGGGCACCCCCCTGGTGCTAGACCGCCAAGCTCATCGCAGCGCCAACCAATTGGTTACGGTATGAACATGTTTGCTGACCGTTTGGATTTACAGTGGCTGCTGGTCTTGAGGACTGGGTTGATTTCGGTGTCATCTGCGGTCTGTTGCTTCTCAACGCCGCTGTCGGTTTCATTCAGGAATACCAGGCTGGTTCCATCGTCGACGAACTCAAGAAGTAAGGCTAACCTTCCCGGTCGAACGTTACGGAACACCCATCATTAACCCACTGGCAGGACTCTCGCTCTCAAGGCTGTCGTTCTCCGTGACGGTACCCTCAAGGAGGTTGAGGCCCCCGAGGTCGTCCCCGGCGATATTCTGCAGGTTGAGGAGGGTACCATCATTCCCGCCGATGGCCGCATTGTTACCGATGATGCCTTCCTCCAGGTTGACCAGTCTGCCATCACCGGCGAGTCGCTCGCTGTCGACAAGCACAAGGGCGACCAGTGCTATGCCTCCTCCGGTGTCAAGCGTGGTGAGACCTTCCTGGTCGTCACCGCCACTGGTGACAACACCTTCGTCGGTCGCGCCGCTGCCCTCGTCAACGCGGCCAGCGCCGGCACCGGTCACTTCACTGAGGTGCTCAACGGCATTGGTACCATTCTGCTGGTTCTCGTCATTCTCACCAACTTGATCGTCTGGGTTGCCAGCTTCTACCGCTCCAACGGCATTGTCCACATCCTCGAGTTCACCCTGGCCATCACCATCGTCGGTGTGCCCGTCGGTCTCCCCGCCGTCGTCACCACCACCATGGCTGTCGGTGCTGCCTACCTCGCCAAGAAGAAGGCCATCGTCCAAAAGCTCTCCGCCATTGAGTCTCTGGCTGGTGTCGAGATTCTCTGCTCTGACAAGACCGGTACCCTGACCAAGAACAAGCTCTCCCTGGCTGAGCCCTACACTGTTGCCGGTGTCGACCCTGAGGACCTCATGCTTACTGCCTGCCTGGCTGCCTCGCGCAAGAAGAAGGGCATGGATGCCATCGACAAGGCTTTCCTCAAGAGCTTGAAGTACTATCCCCGTGCCAAGGGCGTCCTCTCCAAGTATAAGGTTCTTGACTTCCACCCCTTCGACCCCGTCTCCAAGAAGGTCACCGCCGTTGTCGAGTCTCCCCAGGGCGAGCGCATCATCTGCGTCAAGGGTGCCCCTCTCTTCGTTCTCAAGACTGTTGAGGAGGACCACCCCATCCCTGAGGATGTCGACCAGGCCTACAAGAACAAGGTTGCCGAGTTCGCTACCCGTGGTTTCCGTTCGCTCGGTGTTGCCCGCAAGCGCGGTGAGGGCTCCTGGGAGATTCTCGGCATCATGCCCTGCTCCGACCCTCCCCGTCACGACACTGCTCGCACCATCAACGAAGCCAAGTCCCTCGGTCTCTCTATCAAGATGCTTACTGGTGATGCCGTCGGTATCGCTAGGGAGACCTCGCGCCAGCTCGGTCTCGGTACCAACGTCTACAACGCTGAGCGCCTTGGTCTCGGTGGCGGTGGTGACATGCCCGGCTCTGAGGTCTACGATTTCGTCGAGGCTGCCGATGGTTTCGCCGAGGTCTTCCCCCAGCACAAGTACAACGTCGTCGAGATCCTGCAGCAGCGTGGCTACCTCGTTGCCATGACTGGTGACGGTGTCAACGACGCTCCCTCGCTCAAGAAGGCCGATACTGGTATTGCCGTCGAGGGTGCCTCTGACGCTGCCCGCTCCGCCGCCGATATCGTCTTCCTTGCCCCCGGTCTCGGTGCCATTATTGATGCGCTCAAGACGTCTCGCCAGATTTTCCACCGCATGTACGCCTACGTCGTCTACCGTATCGCCCTGTCGATTCATCTCGAGATCTACCTGGGTCTCTGGATCGCCATCCTGAACCGCAGCTTGAACATCAACCTCGTCGTCTTCATCGCCATTTTCGCGGATGTTGCTACCCTGGCCATCGCCTACGACAACGCCCCCTACAGCAAGACCCCCGTGAAGTGGAACCTGCCCAAGCTCTGGGGTATGTCCGTCCTGCTCGGCATTGTGCTCGCCATTGGTACCTGGATCACTGTCACCACCATGTACGTCCACGGTCCCGACGGTGGTATCGTCCAGAACTTCGGCAACATGGACGAGGTTGTGTTCCTCCAGATCTCCCTCACTGAGAACTGGCTCATCTTCATCACTCGGTATGTGTTTTATCCCTCACCCTCCTGACTTTGTCTGCGACATTGTGGTGCTAATACTCGTGCAGTGCCAACGGTCCCTTCTGGTCCTCGCTTCCCTCGTGGCAGCTGGCTGGTGCCGTCCTCGTTGTCGACATCATCGCCACCCTGTTCACCATCTTCGGTTGGTTCGAGTACGGACCTGGCCGGGACACCTCCATCGTCGCCGTCGTCCGTGTCTGGATCTTCTCGTTCGGTGTCTTCTGCGTCATGGGCGGTCTCTACTACATGCTCCAGGACAGCGTCGGCTTCGACAACCTCATGCACGGCAAGTCGCCCAAGGGCAACCAGAAGCAGCGCTCTCTGGAGGACTTTGTCGTCTCCCTCCAGCGCGTCTCGACCCAGCACGAGAAGTCGCAGTAAGCGACGCGTGGGCGAGCGGTGGCTCGTGCCGTGCCTCCAATTTACCCCGGCGGCGTGAGCGATGCTATCTACGGCGTGGGGCTCATATTACCTACCCTACCTGCCTGCCCTAGATGGCAGCAAATAAAAATCCTCGGCCGCGGGCGATAGATAGGAATGGACGGTCGAGGATATATTTTTTTCATTTTCTGAACAAGTTCTGTATGGACTTTGGTATTAGGGGCTAGAATTACCCCGATTTCCTTAGACAATCTAATATAAAGAGTAAAAAATAAACTGTCTTTTGTGTGAATGTCTGTGATGTGGAGGCGAAATCAAGAAGGTTGATGGGTCTTGGCAGTTTTGCCTGTCCGTTGTCCGGTTGTTTTTGGCATTGCCACTTGTAACCCTCACCTGACAACCATTTGAAGATGCGAATTCTACTTGGAACAATACTCCTACACTCGCATTTTTGAATCACTGTTTTATACCACGGTTAACCTCATTAGTTACAGTTCACTCTGGCCAAGTGTTTGTTCTCTTTACCTTTTTTTTCGCTTTCTTTTACTCCATCGTCCTCTCCCTCCTCCGCCCATTTTTCTTTTTCTCGAACATCAATTTTGATCCCACCCACTCACTACCTTGCACTGAGCATTATCTCTCGACAATGAATCGAGAAATACCCGGCTTTTACTATGGTCAGTCCCCTTTCCCTCCCTCCGCATCCCATCCATCCCTTCCCCAACCCCCAATTCTTTTGTATCCCCTCCCAGCAATGATTCATGTCATCATGTCATCATATACAACCCCTTCCCCCCCTCCTCCCCATCAACCAAACCACTCAAACCCCATACCCCCATCATTTAACACCACATGCACAGACACAACCAAACGCAAATACTTTCGCATCGAAGACGCCCGCACTGCCCCCAGCGACGCTGCTTGGTCGGCGCCCAACGTCAAGCGCCGCGCCGTCGAGGCTAAAGAGGACGAGGCTCGTCGCGAGAGGCTGCGCCGTGAGGAGGGCCGGGTGAGGAGGGCGCGCGTCTTGTCGTTGAGGGAGGGGCCGCTTGTGGGGGGGTTGTTGGGGCGGGAGGTGGGTGGGCAGGTTGGTGGTGGTGTTGGTGGTGGGGATGGGGGGGAGGTGGTTGCGAGGGCGTGGGCGGCGGGGTTGAAGGCGAAGGGATCATTGAGTTGGTTGCCGCCGCGTGAGGGGGTGATTTCGGCGATGTGGATTGGTAGGAGTCATGTGAGGAGTGAGATGGGGTTGGCGTATGCGGTGGTGAATGGCGCGGTTCCGGTGGCGGCCTATCTTCCGAGAGATGCGGACGACTGGTGAGTTTTGGTGTTGCCTCATGGGTTGGGTTGGGTTGAGCGAGCGCTGATGGGGACAAGTATCAACTTTCAGGGCGGTGGCGCACGGTACCCCCAGGTCGATCTCCGGTTTAGGAATTTTCGGGGGCAGAACGAGCGGAACTCCAAGGCCGTCAAGTTCCATGAGCCGTCCTCCAAGATTCTTGTGGCGTGGGAAGGTAGCCGGGGCATCGGCATCACTCACTTCACACCGCGGTCCCCGGATCCGAGCGAGCCAGGCCCTGCGTGGGTGGTAGGAGGGGGTATGTTTGAGAACCCGCTTGTCTCTCCATCTTGGTAGCATTGCTGACCAACCATCGCAAAGACGTGGATAGCGTACCAATCATGGACTCAATTCTTGTCAACGAGTCCGCTACCGCCTTCAACGCACTACAGCCAGCCCCTCCGGCATCACGACTGACCTGCATCGCCGGCACCAACGCCGGTGTCGCGCAATTGCGGAGCGACAACCTTACCTGGCTCACGCCGTCACCACCGCCCCGCCACCGCCACCGCCACCGCCAACACACCCCGAAGCCAAACCCGGCAGCCCCATGGCAAGGCGACGTACTCTCCGTAGACTTTCTCGGCCAAAACCCCGCCGAGGTGATCCTCGCGGGCACGCGGTCAGGGCACGTCTGTGTCCTCGACACGCGGGTCCCGCCGCACGAGTGGTCCGTCCGCAGCAACACCTTCCGGCATGTCAGCAGCGCGGCCCATGTCCGGGCCGTCGGCGAGTACGACGTGCTGGCGGCCGGCCCTCCCAACGCCATGGCCCTCTACGACGTCCGCTACCTTCGCCAGCGCAACCCCACCGCCAACCTAGACGACAACAACAACGCGGCCCGCCCCATAGTAACCTTCCCGCACTACGACAACGCCGCCAACATCCACGCCGGGCTCGACGTGCTGACCGCCGCCGGCTATGGCGGGGGCATCGTGGCGACGGCACACACCACCGACGTGTCGACACCATCATCAAGAGCAGCAGCAGCAGCAGCAGCAGCAGCAGCGGCAGCCCCACCAACGCCGGCGTGGCAGCAACCACAACCACTTCAACAACAGCGGCGTCGTTGGGGGAGGGACCCGAAAAAGGCGGAGGAGCATCGGCCGCAATACGAGGTGGCGCTGCACTCGCTGCGGGACGGGACACGGATCGCCGGCGGGGAGGTGGATGGGATCCGGGCGCCGGCGGTGGCGCAGAGTTTGATGTGGCAGACGCTGCCGGGGGAACGGCACCCGAGTCTGTTTGTTGGGGAGGGGGCGAATATTGGCAAGTATTCGTTTTGGGCGTGAAGTGAACAGGGGATAATAGGTTGTCTGATTTTTGTTTTTTTCTGGTCTGGTTGGGGGAGGAGGGGTTTGGGGATATACTTGTTTGTTTGTGTGGGCTGGGCTAGATAAAATATGGGATGGGATGGGATCCGAGACAAGGAGTTGATGGTGGTGGGTTGTAACAATTAATTTTGTGTGATGCCGGTTGGACTTTGAAGGTCCCGGAATCATTATGTGTTGCCACATCCGGTCTCTAGTCTCCATGGAGACGGACGATGCTGTAACAGACTATTACGCTTGAATATATAACCCCCTGACAACGCTGAGCCCAGCACAGCAAACGACCGCTCCACTTTCCCCCATCAACGCCTCGTTGTTTTAGTGGCCCCCTTTCTCGTCAAAACCACAGTATACCCCTCGTGTTCGTGTTTCATACCCATCTGTCGAGCGTAGGAAATGCAAGAAGAAAAACAGCACTTATTTCCAGCCAAAAGTATATTTACCCTCCATGCTCCCCCGCCGGATTCAGTCCGCCTTCAGATTAAACGTCCCCACCAGCGCCGGGTAAGCCCTCGCAAAAGCTGGACCAAGCGTCCAGTTCTCCAACATCCCGACATGCTGCTCAAAGACAGGGTTGATGACCAGCTCCTCGCTGTTCGGGCTCGCCAGCAGCACGAGGGTGTCATCGTACGGCCAGTTGAGGCTCAGGGTCGAGGTGAAAGGGATGAAGAAGTGGTCAAACGGGAACTTGCCCTCCTCGTAGTCGTGCGCCAGCCGCGCTCGCATGGCTGGGAAGGGAATGTGGTCATACCACGCCGGATGCTCCTTGGCGGTCTGCTCGGGTACGGGGCGGAACCACTCAGGCAGCCGGAGGTAGTTTTTCTCGGTTGGCGAAATCCTGCCAGCGCATGTGTAGGAACATGACATACAGCACGGCGACGCGCTCGGGGAGGGTGGCCAGGTCGGGAAACCGCGCCAAGATGTCGGTGAAGACTTTGGAGAGCGGGTGCGAGTAGGCCGAGACGGCGGGGTTGAGGAGAGATGAGACCGAGGGGTAACGCGGGCCGAGGATTTCGGACTGCGAGAGGCCTTTCGGCGGCGCGCTGGCGGCGTTCCGAGAGGAAGTCGAGGAGAAGAGAGTCGAGGGGGCAGGTCGGCGCGCAGTTGCGCGGGGTGATGCTGTGGATGGGAGATGGTCTTGCTGCGGATGGCCCTGGCGCGGAAGTAGCAATAGTGGAGGCGGGGGATTGGGTGTATATGGAAGGGTGCGATGGTGGCTGGGTTGGTGTTTGTCCCTGCATACCCGGTATCATGGAGACGGTGCCGATCCAGTCGTGCTTCATGGGTACGTGGCGGTAACGTGGCGAGTCCTGGGCACCGTCAAGACCATCCTTGATCCGGGCAACCTCAAGATTGGGGTCGACTAAGAAGTTTAGGCCCAGCCGGTCCGGCCCTAGATCCAGCCCGTGGACTAGACGGCGGCGTTGTTGCTCGAACATCACCATTTCCGGAGCCGGTTGCTGCTGCGCTTGGCCGTCAATGCTCATCGGGGGCGCGACGGGAGAGAGACTATTCTGCCACCGGCTGTGCGTCCCCACAGATGCCGGGGAGGTGGTGCTTGTCGGGGTCGTATCAGGGTTGTGCCCCGGCGGCCCTGTAAATGGGTTGGCAGGTCCTTGGTTTTGACCAGAAGGCCGGTAGACTGGCGCTGGCGATGTGTGTTAGCCTGAACCAGACGTGTGTAGTGGCGATGGGTAGTAATGAGGGCCAGGACCTACCAGCGCCCTCGGGAGCCGCTAGAGCGGGCTGAATCATGGCCGCAATAGCGGCCAGAAGCCTCTTCACATCGGCAAGCTCGGCCTCGACGGCCTCCTTCTGGCGAACGGCGTTCTGCAGTTCTTTGTACGGTTGAGTAGCCTTGAGGTCGGCGATCTCCCGTTCATACTGTTCGGTCTTGAGTCGCTGACGTTCCCGAATAGCTCGTTGTGCTTCACGGTCTGCATAGCGTTAGGGCCGGATTCGGTTCAACACGGGAATTACCCGAGACCAGCTTGGCCCGGGGCCCGGGACCCGGGGCGGGCTCGGCCCCCACTTACCGTTGGCTCGTTTCCGCTCAAGCTGGTCCGGGGTCAGATGGGCCACGCCGCGAGACGCCCGGCCGGTCTTGCGTCTTTTGGACCCAGCGACACCGCCATCTGTACTTCCTGGGGTATCGGCATCTTGCAGATCTGGACTATCGCCATATCCCGGTTGTTGTTGGTGTTGGTTTGTCGTTGCCGATGGCGACCCATGTCCCGTCCTACCCGAGTCGGGATGCTGCTGCTGCTGCTGCTGCTGCTGTTGTGCGTCTCGGTCCGTAATAGGGTCAACGCCCCCTCGTCCGGGATTGTTTGGCGTCCCACCGTAGCTACGCTTCCGCTCAGGCCCAAGCGGGAGCGGCGGTAGCGGCGGGTGATGGGGATGGTAGCTGGGATGGGTGGACCTCGGGCGGTCAGGGTATGGCGCGTGTTGTGGTGCTGTTGCATAGATGCTTATATCCGTGCTCTCGGCTATGTTGTTGACTGGAGGGGTCGAAGACGCCATGGATTGATCGGGAGGAATGTGGGATGGGTTCCCGGGTCAAATCAGTCAGACAACAATTAGAAACAATGAAACAAACGATACACAACACAGTACTTCGTACCAAGTACCACTTGGGGAAAAAAAGGTGACGAATAAGATCGAACAATTCGAACAATTCCATGCAAGGGACAACCCACAAACGGCGATTCGCTAGGCCGCTGTCGTGCTGACCCCCTCCGCCCCTGGCTCGATTCTGCGAGTTGGGCAGGCAAAGCAGGTTGCTCTTGCTTGGGGTTGACCTGTCGGTTGTGCTCTTGCGACAGCGGCGGTCAAGGAAAGGCGGAGTCCGGGGAGAATGGCTGCCAAAAGCGAGGGGAAGCGACTCAAGCATTTGAGCTTGGAGGGAAGGTCCCGAGTCAGTGCACGACAGGGGCCTGGGGTGTTGTTCGCGGCAGGTGCAATCTGGTTTAGGCCCACTTGGAGCCTCGCCTGCCTTCACTAAATCGACCTGCCCACCACACACCGCACGGATCATAATCTCACCGGAGGTATGGCACCTATCATATCACCTACATCTAAGACATTCTAACCATGTGTGTAGCCTGCTGGCCCGAGGGCGCGGTCGATGACAAACCCGACAGCTCTCGAGGTAGCAAATCAAGGTTACATCGAGGAACATCCCGTGCTGCTGGATGAGATTGACGAGAGTGACGACGCAGCGATGGCCATTTAGGTCCGGATAATAGTGCCGTTGGCTGCAACATAATAACACAATAGAGGCAGGGTGACAAACTGCAAATCTCAAGGGGACAGTCACTGCCCATTGTGTAAAAAACCTTGATGCTCTACACTAATATCAGCAGGAGCTAACTTCATACACCACCACCGCTTTTTCTCCAAGCCGGATCTACCCTTGACATTCATTACCCCCCGAATCAACTCCAACTCCACATCCACATCCATATCCATATCCACACCCCTAATCCGCCGAGGCCCTCGCCAACGCCTCATGGAGATGCGGCGGCAGGCGATACCGCAGCTGACTGGTGTACGAAGTCAAGTCAACGCTCATCTGCTTGAGCTCGTCGACCATCTGGCGGGCCGTCGACTGGTTGCCGCTGAACTGGCCCGTCACGAGGCGCTCACGCTGCTTGGTGCAGCAGATGACGGTCCACATGAGCAGGTTGGGAACGTTGATGGCTACGGGCTGCGACAGCGACGAGAATTTGGCTGCGTACGCTCGGATCACGCTCGGGTCGCCGCGCGCCGTGAGCGGGAGGATGTCGAGAGAACGGATTTGCTAGACATTCGTTGTTAGTATCAATGACCGGAGTGAAAATGGGGCCGGGAATGGGGAACACTCACATCGAGACACTGCGGCCACTTGCCCTGTTCAACCAGGCTCTTGATGTCGCTCATCCTTAGCAGCACCGTGCACGCCACCCTATTCGGCTCACGGATCTTCTGCCAGAACATGTGGTCCCTTTCGTACATGCTCATCATCGTCTTGGCCAGCTCCACCGGGTCGTCGATGGCCGCCAGGCTCAGACTGCTGCCCCGCTGAGCAGCATCCGGCTCCGCGCCGCCCTCGACGCGGGGTTTCACTGGCACCAGCCGCAAAGATTCCTCTCCAATCTCGAGCGAAACCGACTCGCTCAGCGCCCTGCTGACAATCGACACAACCGTGTCGTAGTCCTCCGCCAGGTGGTACAGAAGGACAGCATCCGTCGTGCGCCCGTTGTCGTCGGCGAAGCTGGCCGCCTGCAGCGTGATGGCGCGGATGAAGTCGTCTTCCTGGCCGAGCGCAATCAACGGGCCGCGGTCCTCAACCACGCCCCGGATGCGCTGTCCGTCCGGCTTGATGTCGCCGATCAGCCGGCTGAATTCGCGCGACTCGAGCACCAGCTCGCGCAGGGCCTCGTGGCAGAGCGCCGCCTGCTGCTGGCCGCCGGCCTCATCTGCGTTCAGGCATATGAGCACGAGATAGTCGACAGCCGCGGCGGCGTTAGCGGCGCGGAAGTCGCGGGTGTAGTAGCCGAGCATGCGCCCAAAGTTGATCTGCGGTTGGCTTCGTGTGCTGTAGGACAGCAGCTCGTTGGCCGTCGACTGTGCGTCTGCCGGACGCAGGAGGCCGTAGTAGGTAAGTGCAATAGCGAAATGGACGGCGTCGACGTAGGAGAAGGGGTAGAGGTAGGCGATTGCCTGTTCGAACATGCCCGACAGCACTTGTAGGTAGAAGAACATGCCGAAGCTACCGTTAGTGTCCTCGGCCACTGTCTTGGGAAAGTGCTTCAGGCCGATCTCGCGAATGCTGGTCTGGAGTTCAGTGAGACCGTATGACTCGCCCGCCAGCTCCAGGGACCGGTCCGTCTCCCGGGCCAGATTGAACTGCAACCAGATCCAGTCGTTGACATCTGTCTGAAGTCCATCCAGGCTCCGGTTGGTGAGATCGCAACGACCGATGATCTTGTAGCAAGCCATGCGGAAGGGATCGATCGAACCCTCGGGCGCGTTGCGGATCCGCTGGTTGTATTCGCTCATGCACCGGTCCTGCATCTGGCGCTTAAGGCGGCGCTCTTCGCTAGAGGCGTAGCTGTTGATGTAGCCCGAAAATGTCCGGTCGATGCTGCGGAAGTGATTCTGGTTCTCGTTGACGTACTGCGCAGCCTCGTGGACAAAGCCCGCCCGCAACAGGTAGAAGACGATGGCCCAAATGTACTCGTTGTTGGCTTGTTGGAGGTCGACATTGTCGGGGACGAGCGTCTTCCGGGCGATGCGGAGCCGAATGTAGGCCTTGATTTTGCTGACCACATCTGGTAGGCCGCCCAGGTTGGCGTCCTGCGGGTACTTGGCGATCAACGAGTTCACCTCGTTCCAGAACTGCTTCTCCAAGAACGCGTTGGCCCCACTGAGGATTTGCTTCCGCATCGCTACTGCGTTAGCAGAGTGATGGTTAGGATCCAGGTAAAGCTTGGCGTATTGCCGTTCCTTGGGCGTCTCTTCTGCTTCAGGGAACTCTCCAACAATCTCCATCATCGCCCGGTACGCCTCAACGAGGTGCGGCCCGTGACGATCTCCAGACTTGGACTCCAACTCGGCCAAGTCGCGGCAGATGTAAATGGGCAGCGACTGCTGCCGGGCATTGTTGAACTCGTGAATCTTCTCGGCCAACTTGCCCTGCTTCTCGCGCAAGAATCGATCATCCATCGACCCGGCACCACCAGACCCAGCCGCAGTCTTACGGGCTTCCACATCCGTAAACTCGCTCGCGTGCGACCCGATCTGGCTCGGAGTTCCAATAACAGAACGCTGCATCGCCGATCTGCCCAGCACGCTCGCCCGCGGTGTGGACCGCTCGCCGCCGGCAGCTTGGCTCGCCTTGCGCCTAGACCGCCCAAACGTGCCCTGTCCATCCTTCTGTGGCGTTGATGCGCGTGCTGCCGGCTGCGTAGACCCCGCAGCATCCTCCCGCGGCTTGATTCCAAAATGTTGATAGATCCGCTTCCGCTGTGCCTCCCACTCCATCGTCACGTTGTCCTCGAGGAAGGTGTCGAAGTCCCGCACCGACCGGTCCAGCCCGTCTGCGATCATGCTCAGCGTCGTCTTACTCTGCAGGTTCGAAAGGTATGCCTCGACATCGAGCTCGCCAACACCACCACCAAATCCAGACCCTGTACCAGCAGCGCCGCGCTCCCGTGCCTGAAGCCCGAAGGCACCTAGATCGCGCACCGCCGCGCCGGGGTCGACGCCCGAAGCCGCGAGGAAGTAGTGCGCCTTTCCATGTTCGAAAGGCTTGTCTTGCGAGGGGCCGAGCGACCTCAAGCGCTGACGGAGATCACCCAGTCCTAACTGGAGTGAGGGCAGCTCTCCTAACGCGGTCTCCCCCTCAGCTTGTTTCTTGTTCTTAGCCAGGAGGCTGTCGAAAAGGGCGCCTGTCGGGAGGGCGGACGGCGGGGCCTGTTGTTGCTGTTGCTGTTGCGAAATTGTGGATGCGGCGGGGTTGGTGTTGGTGGTGCTCCCAAAGCCAAGGCCTCCCAGACGCAGGCCACCTCCGGAGGGAGCGGAGAGTAGGCTAGCTCCCGCTGGCTGCGTGGTGGTCGCGGTCGAGGCGCCCAGGCCCAAGGTGTTCCCAAAGAGACTGTTCCCGCTTGTGGTGGTGGGCTGGTTCGTCACTGTTGCTGTTGACTGGTTGCCTCCGAAGAGCGACCCTTGTGGAGTGGTGGTTGATGTGCCGAACAACGAAGACCCTAGGTTGAGCCCAGCAGGTCGAGGCTGGGTTGGGGTTGTCGTACCAGCCGCACTGTTCCCAAAGAGAGAACTCCCTGTAGTCGTCGCGCCAAAAATGCTGTTGCCGGCGCCGGGGGCGGTGCCTTGGTTGGCGCCCGGTGCTGAAGTTGAATTGCCCAACATTCCCGTCGAGTTTGCCGCCGCGGGCGTTCCCCTTCCCATGAAAAGTGACATGGCAGCGATATGTTTCTAACGCCAATTCCTTAGGGTTGCTTGCAGCCAAAGATAGGGGCTCGCAAGATGGCCCGTTTGTGGGAAGGAGGGTTGGCGAGAAAGAGCACTGCTTGGTTTCTCCACGTTTGTTTTTCTGATTGTTGACCCTGGCGTGCTTGCCTTGAACCTGAAAATGCTTTGGGACGCGCCGGCAGGGGATTGAGTGGGGCGGCCAGCAGGGTATTCATCCACTCAGTGGGCGGCCGGGGGAGCTTGGACCACATTGGATGCAGCCCGATGGACTTTCCACACACAGGAAAGAAAAGAGTTCAATCGCTCCGTGGATTATTTTACTCTCACACACAAGCTAGAATATGGCGGATAAATCGTTTCATTACCATGAGTATCTCTAACTAAACCGTCTAGCTGAATCGAAATGAAAGTGATCAAGCCACGCAAAGTCAGGCATCTACCGTCATCATCATCATCTCCCAGCTTTCCTTCCCTTCGTCAATCAATTAGTTGCCGGCCTCAGCATCCAGCGTAGATCCCTTCAGCGCCTCGTCAATCTTCTTCCGATAATCCTGTTGGGTCTTGCACTGGTCCAAGAACACTTCGTACTTGGCATCCAGCAACTTCTTCTCAGCCGGGTCGTTCCGGCACCAGACCACCTTGCCCGGCTTGCTCATGCGGTCCATGATGTCCCACAGCGGCTCCGTCTTGCCCTTCTTGTCTGCGCTGGCCGCCTTGGCCCCCAGCATGGCAGCACCGTGCACGACGGCCGCGTTGACATAGCGCGGGATCAGCACCGGCATGCCGCACGCCGTGGCGATCAGGTCCATGAGGATCTCATTCTGGCACTGGCTGCCGGACATGAAGATACTCTTAATACTATGTCCGGAGTTGTTCATGGCCTCGACGATCTGCCGGGTCTGCAGCGCGATGAACTCCATGGTCGAGTAGTATAGCAGCGCCATGCCGTCCTTGCTCTTGTCGCTGCTCATACCGATGATGGCGCCGCGCATGTTGGGGTCGGCGACCGGCGACCGGTTGCCCCAGAGGTCGCCGTAGAAGAAGTAGTGGCGGACCAGGTACGAGATGGACGGCGCCTCGGTCTTCTCGGCAAGATGCCGGAGGTGGTCGTTGAGGTAGTCGTAGATGCTCTTACCCGCCGCCTCGGCCTCCGTCAGCGTGTCGTAGTACGCCGCGTGCGTCTCAAGCATGTGCTTCATCAGCTCGCCAGTGGCCGACTGCCCGCCCTCAGCCATCCAGAAGTCGGGGATGAGGACGTCGCGGTAAGGGCCCCAGACGCCTGGCACGAAGACGGGCTCCCTCGACATGGCCAAGTGGCAGGTCGACGTCCCCGCCACGGATGCCAGCCGTGTGAAGGCCTGCGAAACATCGTTCGGCGCGACCGAATCGTCAAGGCAGTCAGGGTCCAGCTTGACCTTGGCTCCGACCGTCCCGATCCAGCCGGCGTAGGCGTCAATGACACCGCTCCCGATCGCAATGCCGGGTGGCAGACCGAATTCTTTGGCCGCCTTCTCGCACAGCCCACCAACCAGCTCGCCCGCGCTCAAGAACTCACCATTCTATCACCAGTTAGCCCATTGTTCCGTCAACTCTCTCAAGGGCCAAAGGAAAGAAGAGGGGAGGAGTGAGGGAAGAAAAAAAGGCAAGACTCACAACTCCATTGACACCGCCCACCCGCTTAAACCCATCATCGGCCAGCTCCCCCAGGCCAATGTCCCTATAAAAGTCCTCCTGCCACCCCTTGACACTCCCATCCACACCCACCGGCACATAGCCCTGCTTGCACACGGCACTACAAAAGCTACGCGTCTCACCCCCCGTCGCCAGATGGGTCAGCGCATCAGCCAGATCATAAAACTTGCAGCGGTTGAACAGCTCAGCAGGCATGTGGTTCTTGAGCCACAGCACCTTGGGCATCTCCATCTCGACGTTCATCTTGCCGCCGAGGTAGCGCAGCAGGTTGTGGTCGGTCGAGTTGATGAGCTCGGTCTCGGCCAAGGGGCGGTGGTCCAGCCACAGGATCACGTTGCGGTCCTCGCCGGCGGCGTTGGCGAAATCGGGCCCCGTCACCGACACGGGCTCGTCCGTGTCGTGCGTGAACACCGCCAGCGAGCACGTCGCGTCGAACCCGATGCCCTTGATCGTGGCCGGGTCGGTTTGCGAGTCGCTCATGGTCTTGCGCACGCAGTGCGCGATGGCCCGCCAGATGTCGGTTGTGGATTGTTCCTTGGAAAGAGGGAAGCATGTTAGTTTTGGTTCGTTGTGAATGACTGGCTAGCTACCCTGCACTGAGCAGAGGGAGGGCACGGGGAAGGAAGGAAATTCGGGATTTACATAGTGTGAGCCGGTGTAGCCGTGTTCGGGCTGCCAGAGTTTGATGTTCTCACTGGCGAGTGCCTTGATCTCGCCGGTGGCGTCAATGATGCAGGCCCGCGCAGAACCTGTCCCGACGTCTACGCCAATGTAATGGTCCTGTGGTGACATGGTGAGCAAGGCGTTTCTCGGTATCGGCTTTTACTGTGTCGACCAACCGTGGAAGCCCTAGGTCGAGGCGAGGTTAGCGATACTGCGGCGTTGAGGGCTTAGGTTGGCGGAGTCGACTTACATTTCTTCTGCTTTGTGTTGAATGAGGATGGGTCGAGTTTAATGAGCTCGGCTTGCGTGCGACGGGCGCACTGCCTCAGAATTGGGACTTGTTGCACTGTGGGAGGCGAGGAGGCGAGGCACGGAGTAAGAAGGACAACTCGAAGAATCACGGGTGGCAGAGCTTGGTCGGGAAAAGGAATGGGGGATTGATCGAGTTCAATTTTCAGACGGTCGAGCTCCCTTAAAGAAGGAACCGTCCCATGTTCTAAAGCTAAGACAATGGCATTCATGGATGGCATTGGACAATGGGAGAAGGGAGGGGATGGGCTCATGGGGGTGAGAAAGCAGAAATCCCATGGTCCGGATGGTTCCACCTGCCTCGTCATCCCAAAATCCCCCATCTCGTAGACTCTTGGAAGCACACCATGGAGTCTCGGCACACGAGGGGAGCTGCGGGCGGTATGCAGGGAAGAGGTCGAGACCCGTTGAGGTTCTTGGTTGCCAACTCAGCAACTCAGCAATTCAACCCAGCCTTCGAGCCAGCTCAACAAGTCAACCGGGAGTGTGGGATATCGTGTGTAAAAGTCTGGCCATCACGCGTTGTCACGGCACCAGCAGGATCAGCAATGATCAACACCTGTGGTGCACGCCTTATCTCTGAAGTCGGTAAGGGGGTTGCAGCGACCAGAGCTTGATGGGCGGGTTCGCCGGGGGGGAACATGGGAGGTGCAGCAAAACCGCAACCTTTTTGCAACTTTTGCGGGTCCAACATGGAAGCCCTCTTCCCGCGTGACATGCAAAACTTTGTTCGGGTCGGGCTAGAACCAGGGCCACACGCGTCTGGATCGCCGCTCCCCCACTCTACAGCATCTTGTTCCTTCCCCCGGAGCTCTACCGAGCGAGCGAGCCTCGAGGCGAAGCTGGTGGGTGTGCGGCCACTAAGTGCGGGGCTGTCTTTTTGTGGGCGAGAGCGGGCGGCCCGGGCTCCCCGGAATCCGGACCCGGGCACGGCTGCAGGGCTGTCGCAGCCCCTCCGAGGAGTTGGAACGTCCACCGCCGAGCTGAGATAACGCCGATCGCGGACATTCTGCTGTGTTGTCCGTTGTTGTCCGTTGCTTCTTGTCCGTTGTCCGTTGTCTGTCTACCCGGAGTGTCTTTCGATCAAACCAGACGACAACTCAGCAAAGTACCAAAGAAGGGTGGGGTCGTAGGAGACTGTCATTGGCGCTGAACCCTCTCCCTGTCTTTCTGTTATGTCTTTTCTTGTTCGTTGTTATCTTTGCTGTGTTAGTTTTCTGTTTACTGGGACGAATCGATTGAGTCGATGCATTGGTGCGGGATCGGTCTCGCCCTGGGTAAGCGGCATTTCCATGAACGATGGTTTAACGATCGAGTTTGCAATATTTTCCCGGTTTAGTTGTAGCTAATTGTAGGTGCAAAAATCGGGGTTGAACATGGGGACCTAAATTGGTGATGATGAATCTGTGAGAAGTTTCCATTAGGGATGTGAAAAGTTGCCAAAGCAGCAAGGTTGGGGGTTGGGTTGATTAAGGAATTGTTTTGGACCGCGAACAGGAACCTCTGAAAACTTCCACTTTACAACGCCGAGGCCTCCATCAAAATGGATTCTGAAACGGCAGCAACCCACGAAGAGATCTGGGACGACTCGGCCCTCGTCGACTCCTGGAATGAGGCGTTAGAGGAGTACAAGGTCAGTGAGCGACCGGTTTCGAAACCGCGACAGCTACACGTCACCAAGGTTGGGCTAGAGACGCTGACACAATCGCAGAAATACCACAGCATCCACGCGAAAGGCGGCACAGTCGACGACCTCCCAGACCGCGCAGATGAAATGTAAGACACCCACCATCCCAAACACTCGGGCGACAGACCAAGAGAAGGGCGTTCGGGCCATGATCCCTTTTCTGATGGCAGGGTAGGACTCGTGCAAATGCCGATGCCAAGCCTGAAACAGGCGAGCTCAACGAACCTATCGCAGAGGGGGAAGATGAGGGAGAGGTGGATGAGACGATATCCATGGACGAGAGCGACGAAACATCGCACCCGATAATCTCGGATGTCCAGGGCTCCGGGGAGGCGAAAAAGGTAGGGAGATCTGACCCTTGGACCTGCAAGAGGAGAATCTGGGAGATCGTCAAATCTTGGCATCAAACAGCTCCCCGACCTATTTTCAAGTTGTTTCTCACCGACTGACGGATGACTGACGGTTGAACCCGAACAGGCTGATGGGATGGTTCCTGCGTTAGGGCCAGAGGCATTTCTGGGGACTGGTGAGTTTGGGGTGCTGAATCTCGAAACGGCGACGAAGCTAACATCCAATGTCAATGACAGTCCAAGACGGGGAGCTAAAGAAACTCTTGATGTCGTGGTATTACGCCGGTAGGTTAGCCTTGTCCCAAACTTCAGTCCCCCGACTAACTGTTACAGGCTACTACACGGGCCTTTACGAGGGGAAACAACAGGGCAGCCAGCAGACAAAAGGAGGAGGCTCTAAAGGACCCTGAGAGTGCTCCATCTGAGCACGCAATTGTTCTGGTTCTTGATGCGTTTATTGAGCGAGAAACATCAGCCACTTCGAAGTATCCCCACAAGTGGAAATGATAGCCCAACATACCCAAATATCAAAATCCCCGAGAGAGCATGTGCGTGGACGAAGATGCAGGAGCATTCCATACATGCCCCACAATCAAAACCAGAGAGGCTGAAAAACTGGGGTAAAAGCATCTGGAATGTAAAATTCAGGGTCTTGGCACACAGATTGGGAAGCCCCGGTCTCCAGGCCCAGTCTAACCCTGATCGCCACCGAAAACGGCCTCCTGCGACGGCTTGTGTTCCAGAACCCTGACTTTTCGCACGGCTCTGCGAGTTCCACGTCTGAGCATCGCCATGGCATGTGTGTCAACTCCGCAGCCTCTTGCGCGCCTTGCCTCGTTCCCTAGCCTCCCAGCATAGCAGCCAGTCAAGGGTAACGAACTTTGATCCCACGGAAAGCAAAATCCGGCATCCGTCCCCTCCACTTCCTTGCCCGCTCGCCGGATGAGCTGTATGCCCGCGCGCTGAACATCGAATCACCCCACTTGTATTTTGTATTGGGCATTTTGAGGAGACACTGCGCATCTCCGTGCTCACTCGGTTCGTTCCCACGTTGCCCTTCAAGCAGTGGCTTCGTTTCATGCATCGGCGCAACTCGATCCTCCTTCCCGGATCCGTTGGCTGCCTCCCGTTTACTCATTCAGCGACAGGAGTCGAGTTTGTGAACACGCTACGAAGTCCAGCCATGAGCCTTCGAGACAAGATCCGTGCCAAGAGGTGCCTGGGCTCGGAGGTCCAGACCAGCGGAACCCCGGGAGTTGCCCAAGGTGGGTGGGCCCGCAACCCAGAAGCCAACGTTTATCCTGACTTCGACTTGCCCAGGGCATTTTGAGGGCAATTCTAATGGAGCCTATGCACTATCTCGAGTGCCCATAAAATGTCGCAAAAATCTTGTGACTGCAACATCCTCGTGTGGCGATACAACTGAGAGAGACGGGGATATGGCTGCTTGAACGAGTCAAGCGAAACGCCCACGCTCCCGTACCAAGAAACATGGAAAACGCCCGAAACAGGATAGCGGGCCGCGCACCACTGGCCGTGATGTTTATTCAACATGCCGGGCGGTTGCCGTTTTCTCCGGCCTATGGCTGCCGTTGTTGAGGCCCAGCGGTTGATTAAGCGCGCCGGCCTGGTCCGAGGTGTCGGCCGCATGTTTCTGCAGTGCCCAGAGACAGGTCTGACATGACGATTGCGCCGAGGACGAAGCAGATTCGCACGCTCGCACGTTTTTCTGGATGGCACGAATCGCCGTGCACAGTGGTCAATAATACTTGGCACTTATAGGGTAAAAGTCTGAAGGCGTCATTTTTTACAAGGACTCCAAAGTCTCAGGTCTCGAATATCGCCTTCTGGGCCAGGTCCGGGGTAGAGGAACCCCTGCTTCGGTTCCTTCGTCCCATCTCATCAGTCCGTGCACCTTAAGCTTGGCGAAATGCCAAACGCCATTCTGAGACGATTGTGTCACAGCCGACCTCCTGCTTCCACCCCCTAGGTCTGGGCCATTGTCGCCTTCACTAGGTATGTCCTTCGTAACAATTACGGGATCGCCTCACAGTGCAGCCCGTGATGTACGGATGACCCATACGGCCCCCTCCCCCCTTCCCATCCCCAACTGGGCGTGGCAGGGACGTGGCAGGGGAAGTCGCTACCACGGTGATGCCTTCCCGAAGTGTTTCGACTTCCCCGGGACTTTCCCCCCTTCTCACCCCTCGCTGGCCGGGATCTTCCTCGATTTCACAGCCTGGGACGCCGTGCACGAAGATCATCATGCTGCGATATAAGCCGTGACGGGCCCCCTCAGATGGCCACTGAAGAGGTCTTGTTTCTTCCCTTCTCATCCCCATCTTCCACCATTGCCTTCTCTGTGTGTTTTCGCTCCTTTGGTTGATCCGTTCTTTTCTTCCTCCATATTTCGCTTCTACACGAGCAGGGACTCGCTTTGGCATCCAGATTATACATCACACATTTCCGTCATATATTTCCCTGGAGGATACACGAAACGATATCTACCGAGTAGGACGATAACGAAGAAAAGGCACAATGAAGTTCTCGACAGCAACCGCGATGGTATTGGGCATGGCGCCCTTGGCGTTGGGCAAGGCGGTACGCAACGCCTACCCCGTTCGGCGAGACGGCCACAAGGTTGTTGCCGTCAGCGGCGGCGGCAAGAACAGCGTTCAGGCTTCCGAGCAGCAACTTGCTGAGCTCGCCCGCTTGATCGGTCTCAACCGCGGCAGCGGCACCTCCATCAACTTCCTCTGGGTTAACATTGGTGGCGGCGCGGCAACCACTGTCGTTGGCGAGGCTCAAACCGTCACCGTCACTCAAACCGTTGGCGGCGGCGCTGGTGCCACCCCCCCCGCCCGCTGTACGTAACCTGACGAGGCCCGGCTCGACTACGGTTGTCACCCCGCCGACAGGCACCGTCGGTGCTGGCGGCGCCACCCACAGTGTTACTGTTGGCGGCCCTCAGGGCCTCTCCTTCAACCCGCAGCAAATAAGCGCCGCGATTGGCGACACCGTCATCTTCAGCTTCCTCAGCCAGAACCACACTGCTACCCAGTCCGCCTTCGACACCCCCTGCGCAGCCCTCGACGGCGGTATGGACTCAGGTTACCAAGCCAACCCTAACAACACTGTCAACCCGCCTCCGCAAGTCGCGATGCAGGTTATGGTTGACACTCCGCTTTGTACGTTCCAATCTCGCCCGCCCGTCTTGTGGAAAGGTAGAAAACTAACCAAACCGTGCCTCTAGGGTTCTACTGCCGCCAGGGCAACCACTGCGGCAACGGTATGGTCTTCAGCATCAACCCCACCGCCGAGAAGACGCACGCACAGTTCCAGGCGCTTGCCATCCAGCAGAACGGCAAGGGCGCGGGTGGTGCCATCACTGGCAACCCGCCCAACGCTGACCCCAACGCTGGTACCGGCGGTGCCGCCGATGCGTCCTCCGCTATTGTCACCCCACCCGGTGCCACCCCCACCGATGCTGCCGGCGCCGTCAACACAGGCATCGCCACCGGCGTCGGCCAAGTCGGAGCCGACGGCTCGTGCGTTTGCGCCGTGCAATGCAGCGTCGGCGGGTTCCCCAACCAGGCCGTTCAGGGCCGCGACAGCTTTGGCGGGTTTGGCGGTAAGTTTCACTTCACTCTCTACGCGCTTATACCGAGAGGTCATGCGGCTAATGAGTGACGAGTAGGCGCTATCCCCATGGCTATGGTCGAGCCTGCGGCTCGCAAGGCGTAAAGCAGGCATCAAATATCATCTTCATGAAGCTATGATTTTTTGCCTGGTTATTGGCGGTTTATTTCCTGGGTGGGTATTTAAAGAGACGCTGCGGTGATGGGAAGGCGGAAATACCATTGTCTGTAGATTTTACTTGTCTTCTTCCTGTCGCTTTTTCTACTGTTTTCTCTCCTGCTGGCCCAACCTGGGTGTTGTCGGCGCAGGGAGGTATATGACTGGCTCGTATTTTCTGGATGCACAAATCTTAATATATCACATTGAGGTGGAATCTTTTTTGAGTGTTCTAAACTGCGTCTCAAGTTGCTAGTCTTGAGTTTGTGGACTGGCTTTCAGGTTAGCCTTTACTAGAGGCCGCCAGTCGAGTAGAACTGCGTTGCCCTCAACGCGGTACGGCAGCCTAGAAACTGTTGGGTGCATATGGCAAGGAGGATGGTGTCATTGGGGTCACTCATTCGCCTCATGTGCCTCAATCCCCATCATTGGGCGAGTCTTGAGATTGGAGACGTCAAGGCAAAGCCTTCGCGGTAGCTTATTGCCTCCTTTTCCGGCTCACACTCTTGCTTACTTTAGTCAAAGGCTTGTGGCTTGTAGCTAGGCGGGGAAAGGAGTACAGCAATATCTCGCGGAGATAAGACAAAAAAAAATAAGAGATTGGAGGCTGTTATAGTCATAGTAATGCTTGTTCGAAACATGGAATGGGGACTACGATGCGCAGCGGAAGAGAAAGATACAAGTTGTCCTACCCAAATTGCTGCGCCTACTGACACAAGGGTCGGGGGTTAATCAACCCGCCCACCAACATGCCTTCGTTTACGCCTAGAAGGAAGTCGAATGTTGTTGTGGTTGTGTCTGGTCCCTCAGCCCAAAATTCAAAAGGGTCATGCGAACGCCCTTCCCTGTCTTGACGCCGGATCCAACCTGCCCATCCATGCAGTTCGTTCTAAGAACGCGGTCGCTATGTGGAATGTGTAGTAAGAGAGTCGTTTCGGTCATTTATGATGGGTTTTGTTATTCATTTCTTAGCAGTAGCGGCCTCGGCCTTCTTCGCGTCGGCTAGAATGCAGGTCAGTATGGCCGGCTGGAGCGGCGGAGGAAGGTTCGGAACCGGGGGTGACGGTCGGCGCGTACCGGCTGCCTGCTTCTCGCGCATCTTCTGCGCCGCAACCTCCTTCGCTTTGGCGAGCTCGCTACCGCTCATACCGTGAGACTTTTTCTGTAAACGCGATACGATTGTCAGAAACGGGGCTTTCATCGTGTCGAGGTACCCGGCTGCTGGGCGACCGAGGCAAAGGAAAGCGTACCGTGGCGGCCTGCTTCTTCTGGTTCGCCTCGCGAGCCTTGTCACGCTGGTTTCCGCGAGCCATTTTGATGATCGAGAGCGGATTTGGGTTAGCGTTAGATGCCGTTCGATATGGAGACTGGGAGGTTGTTCGCGCTTGGAAGATGTGCAAGGTGTGTGGAGTGCGGAGGATCGGTGAATGGGGGTTTTTTGCGGTCAGCAGTTGGGAATTCGAGAAGGCCGCCTGGGAATCACTTGTTGTCAGTTGGCGTCGGACGAGGCTGTGCTGCCCCACTTAAAACAAAGCCTGCTCGGCGCTTCCCTGGGTGGGGCTTTGGGAAAAGCCAAGCCATTCAACACCACCTTGAATCCTGACCCAATCAGCCCCAGCGTTCGTCTTTCATACACGCGCGCGGGATCCTGTCCTTCCGCGTTTGCGCCGGCGTCAAGTGTTTCTCGGCTGCCGTTACCCGCGGCCAGATGAGAAAACCTGAAAATAGCTTCAGGAGTAACCTAGAAGACACTGGGACATGGATACACAGGAAACACCAGGGTCAGGAGCTTCCATACGAGGTACGAATGTTTCGTTGTTTTGGGGCTCTGAACACGATGAGGGCAGCTGGTTCCTAGTGGAGCACCTGAGCAATAAACGGGAGATTTCTCCAGTAGGTATGTTAGAGGACATGTTTACAACTCATCAATGAAGGCACCAACATCTGCATTTGTGTTCTGTGCAAGTGTAAGAAAACGGTTCGACAGGTGTTCCAAGATTCCTAGTTCAGCCCTAACCCTATGAGCAACCCGTGACTCCACTCGCACACCAGAGACTCCGGCTTTCAACACTTGAACAACTTGGGCTTCGAGAACTCATGCGCAACATCGACAATTCGGCGTAACACGCGATATTAATGTTTCTAATTGTGTCCATCCCCATGTCCATGCCTGACCCCCTCAAAGACTGAGATTTCAGTTCAGCAAAATGCAGTACCTGGCCGGTGGTGCCCAAGGCTAAAGGCCTGAAACGGCCTTGGCTTGCTCATAGCCAATCGATGCATCGCGCAGGTCTGGGTTTGAAGATGTCCTTGCCGAGAATGGCTCTCCCCGGGATCTGTTTGAAGGCGGCGGCTGTTCTCGCCTCAGATGGGTCCATCCGAACCATTGGACAACAGCGATCGACAAGGTCGCGTTATGCGCTGCCAGCAGAGCATCCACCGTCCTCGCGTGGGATCGCGGGGCCATGGATCGTCGCATGCCGCCTTGAACCCCGGCTCTCTCCTCTCTGCCGACGATGGAGGGGCAACTGGGAGCATACCGCCGGCGCGATGAGACGAGACCGCAGAGCTGTTGTGTTCGATGTCACGGCTTTCGCTCCGTTACCTGCATGGTGCCCCTGTCGACCACATCCTCCGTGGAACGGAGTGGGCAAGTCTCGGTGCCGTCGACCCTGAACCGGAGCAGCGCCTACGGCTTCATTGGCTAGAAGAGCAGGAAACATTCTTGCTTAATGCGAAACACTCATGGGGAACACCCGCCAGCCAGTTCCTCACCCACTCAACCCCTGCTTTTGCCCTCTTGCTCTCTTCTTTATTCGGTATTAGGCGTGAAATTGTTCATGACAGTGCCAGCTGCTGCTATTGTTATAAGGCCGCTTGCCACCACCGCTTGTCAAACCCAATTTATTTTGGCCATTCACCTTTGTCGGGCCCTATTGTCTGCCTCTCAACAATGAGAATGCTGTACTATTGATCTATTTCTCCGCTCTTTTTTTCCTTCGTCCATTTCTTACCCGGCACGATCTGGATCGTCACGCCTCATGCTACCTTGAACAACTCCTCTTCTCCTTTTCCAGCTTATCATCTCGACACCCAACAGTTTGTGCATCTGCCAGCAGATCCTCACGAGCATTTTCGACACCCCAAGCACTGCAGGCAGTCTACCAATTCAGATAACACTCTTTCTGTAAGTACATATACACTGCTTCCCCCCTGTTCCCTCCTACCTGAGCACCAAATCCCGGGGCAATGTTTTCTGGAAAGACACCCAAGCACAACCGAATATCATCAACGCGCGGAGTCCACGGCGCGCCATGGCATACTCTTCTACCCAGCCCAGGCGGCATTCGGCGCCGTGGTCAGAGGTCTCTTCGCTTTCAGAGAACTCTACCGACCCCCCAGGGCGCCACTCAATAGTATCAGTGTATGAAGACGCGCCAGGCTCCCCTATGTCACTGCACCCCCCCGCCAGAGTTCGTCCCTCAACCCCTGGACCATCCAGGGCGCAACCAACATCATCGAGGGCTCATAGAACTCCTATCCGAGCCCCTGGGCAGCCACTGGCTAGTCGGCCACTGATCGAGTCTACCTACACCGAGGCCGGGCCATCCTCAAAACCCTTGTCACCCCTTCCACTCACCCCAAATGTATCATCTGCACTACCATCACCCCTCCCACCAGCACACCGGGCCATTAGGGCGGGGGCAGCCGCTAGGAAACGGGAAAACGCTAACAAGAGAGCAGCCAAGCCTCGATACAAAATGTTTCGCCTCGGGCAGGACTCGAAGCTTCTCGGCGCCGGTCACGTTGTCCTCAATGTTCTGCGGGCTTTCAACATGATCGGGCTGGCTGCCGCCATGGTGGCCAGCATGGTCATGCCCGTTCTCTCAGGCATCAACGGCCACTTTTACTTTTTCGACATGATCACTCACGTCTTCGTCTTCTTTTTCGCCACCTTCCTCTTCGTCTCGGAACTGCCGGTGCCTTGGAGGAAACTCAAGGGGTACTACGAAAGGAACTGGCCGGTGCTTGGTCCGGACCACTCGCTCGCGTGGCTTGGCTGGGGCATGGTATTCATCGGCTTCCAAATCCTGGGTGATGCCTGGAAGCCGGCGTACACGGTCGAGACCATCGGGCTGGACTGGTGGCGCGCCATCCTCGCCGCGGCCATTCTCTCGGTCACCTTTGGCTTCTTCAACATTTGCGCCTCCATCATCTTCCGGACCTCTATCGACGGACTCCGCGGAGAGGTAGTTAAGGTCACCTCGCGCCAGATCCGCACCCACGGCAACCTCTCTCTCCAGAACGCTGCCAACAAAAACGACGACATCGAGCACAGCTTCTCGTCCCACTACTCCTCACCGCACCGCGACAACTGGTCGGCCCAGAGCTGGTCCAAGGAGGAAGAGGCCGTGGGGCCGTCATCGGCCGTCAAGCGCCTCACGCGCGCCTTCAACCCCCGCAACTTTAACTTCCGCAAGTCGCGCATCCAGATCAGCAAACCCATCCCGCAGAATACGGCGGATGACGTCGAGCGCGGCCACTCCAGCCACAGCCGCGGCGACAGCTTCGATGACAACCTGAACGGCCACGGCGAGGACCGTGGCAGCCCTATCATGCCGGGCCTCCAGCGCCCGCCGACCGAACTCCACCCCGCTTACATGCCCAAGTCCCGGACCAGCTTGTACAGCGCGGCGCATATGGATCGGTTTTGAGGGGTTAGCTGGAAGGAGGCAGTAAAACAACACACACTCAGTCTTTGATTTCTTTTTCTATTATAGACTGTAACAGTCGGTACACTGCTCGTGCATGGTGGAATCAGCATGATACATGGCAGAGTGAAGACGGGGCCGGGGTGGATGGATGGGCGTCTTGGGGTTTGGGAGTCCTGCGTTGGTGGCTTGCTGCTTTATAATGTATACCCGCTGGCTTTTGGCTTCTTTTGTTTTGTTTTTCGGTGGGATGGCAATGGGAAGTAATATTACTCCAGTTGCTCAGATCTTGATGTGAATGTTTGTCAAATCTGGCCTGGCACTCAGTTTTCATGCTCTTGCGTCGGTGGGAGGCATGGCTTCTCGTGGACGATTTGAGAGTGAGCTGGCTCTAACTGACTTTGGTGATGTTCCCGGCCATATGTGTTAGTAAACTAACACTGGCTGTCCGTGCATCGGGCTGTGGAAGCCCACATGTTCAAATCAATCGTGACTCATCGAAGAGGTGTCTAAACCCAAAATCAAAATTGTGATTTGACGCCAGGACCACCTCACTTACTGTGTAGTTAAAGCTCCACGATTGGAAAACGATCGGTGTGTGGATTCGTATATAGGTAATTACTGCGTACTGTGTATGCAGTGAAGTTGGGAAAGGGCCACATTGGCGGCCCTTGCAGTTGTGGCTTCATGGTCCGTGCGTCCAATGCTCGGCACTTTGTCGGCTGCGGCACTCTTCCTGCTGTCCTCCTGCGCGCCCCATCCCTTCGCAACGACGACTGCACTGCGCGTACGGCTTTTTCTCCCAACTGTCACTCAACGAGGCGACTCAGCTATAAATTTAACGATCCCACGCAGCGTTGCATTTTCCTTCCATAACGCGACACTAATCGAAGCAGCTGGCAAATTGACACAACGCCACCTTCCCACCACCCACTATCTTCTTTCCTGCTCCCACCACATCGATTCCTACATCACGGCCATTCTCTTGCCCTTTCGCTCATTTCTGCCCTTTTCGGCAGGCTCACAATTCTAGACGGAGGCGGCTGTGAATGGTGTGCGCATCGTGACTCGGGTTCTGTGTCCAGAAACAGGCAATCGGTTTGGTGGGATCTGTGGAGGGTTTTGCACAGGCACCCTGGTGCTGGGCTGGCCTCCGTTTACAGAGGGAGATAATAGCTGTTTTCCGTCTATTGTTCTCGTGGCCTGAATAGGGGTCCACCTCTGAGATTTCCCTGCTCCCACTCGTGACTGGAATCGCTAGAGGAAATCCTTTCTACGCCCTTCTTCACAGCAGGACTCTGTGGCCGTCGCTCAATTGACACTACCTGCCCGTTTATTGATCTCTCGACTCATCGTTACCCTTCTTTGCTCGACGCAGGACACAGCAATGGCAGACAACGCGGCCGAGGTGGCAGAGGACTACCGACAGGCCCTCGAGGACCTCACGGTCAACTCGCGCATCGAGATCGCCACGCTTACCAATATCGCGCGTGAGAACGCGCACCACGGCTTCGCTATCTCGGAAGCATTGGCAAACCACATCAAGAAGGTATGCCTAGCTATGCTAAAGGCTTTTGATGCCCCATGGCGATAGCTATCCGAGTGAATGTACAAGGGCTAACTTGAATCAGGTACCACCCGCACGGACACTACCAGCGCTCTATGTCCTCGATTCCGTCGTCAAGAATGTTCCGACACCCTATGCGTTATACTTTGGCCCTAAGCTCTACTCGGTCTTTATGGGCGCTTACACCAAAGTCGACAATGCGACAAGACGGAAAATGGACGAAATGCTGAAAACATGGAAAGAACCGGTCCCGGGCTCCATTTCAACGAAGCCTGTCTTCCCGCTCGAACAAGTCCGCCCCATTGAACACGCCCTGATGGCCGCTAGAAATGCCGCCTATGCCGCCCAGCAGAATAGTTTTCAGGGACAGCAACAGCTCATGCGCGGTCGCCAGCCCGCCCCCAGCCGAGACACCCCCACGCCGCCAACTACCCGGTCATATCAACCTCCGGCACCGCAACCTTCTTATCCTGGGGCTAACGGGCATAGGCCGGATGCGGCCCAGCGGCCGTATCCGATGCCACTGGTCAGCGTAAGTCACTACTCCCCTCGAAATCGGGGATTCTGTTGCTAACGATCTCCGCAGGGCCCAGGTAGTTCTTCTCACCGCTCGACACCGCAACCAGCTCCACCGGCCGGGTCTTATCCTCCTTACCAGCAGCCGGCCGCGGGGCCAGTCTACGGCGCTCCCCAGCCTGGAATAAGCATAGACAAGCTGAAAGATGATGTCCAACAACTGATCGTTGCGGAGAAGGCGGAATTTGCACAAGATCCACTTGATACTAGTAAACAGACCAGACTGAAGGCGTTGCTGGACTTGCAAACCCATAATCCAGAGCCAAGACATGCCTCAGGATCAGTTGATGATCATAAGAGATCGAGTTGCTGAACTTGCTGTAAAATTTCGCCCGCAGCTGCCAGTCACTGCTGGTCCTGCTGGCGGTGGTGTTGCTGCACCCAACACCGGTTACCCGGGAGTTTCGTACACCACTACTCCTACGCCTCCGGTTGTGTCTCAACAGCCGACCCCTGTGCCCCCCGCAGCCGCGGCCGTCGTTGCGGCAGCTCTCGGGCGTCCCCAGTCTGCTGCGTCGGCCCCTCCCGCTGCAGGTGGAGGCGTGTCGATTGACTCGCTTTTTGGACAAGGCGCGTTGGCGGCGTTGATATCGGGAACTGCGCGGAAGTCGGCCACACCCCAGCAAACTCCCACACCACAACCTCCGCCGCCCGCCCCGGCCCCGGCCCCGGCCCCGGCGATCGGACCTGCGGCCGCCGCCGCGATAGCTGCTGCGTTGCGGTCACCACCTCCACAGGTGCCTACCGAGCCGCCTAAACCGCCAGCTTCTGCTCCCCCGGCCTCGAATCCCTCAGCCTTGTTAGCCATGTTGAGACAATCTGGTCTGATCAAGCCCAGCGGGACGCCAACTCCTCCCCCAGCGGCTTCTGCACTACCCGGCTTCGGCGCGCGCGGCTTCCAGTCGCTTGCCGGTTTGACATTAGATCCCAACCCCCAGCTTAGGCCTGCTTCCCTAAAGACGTAAGTTCACCACTACCCTTTTTATATCGTACATGAACAGATGAAATTAATGTCACCACCCAGCTTCCGCCCGCACATGATTTCCAAACTGCACGAAGACCTCGGCCCGCCGTGCACCCAATGCGGTCGGCGCTTCAAAACCAACGAAGACGGCCGCCGTAAGAAGACGGCGCACATGGACTGGCACTTCCGCGTACACCAGCGCATGACCGATGCCGAGAAGCGCGGACAGCACCGCAGCTGGTATGTCGATGAATCGGTACGTACCTCCCTCCCCTCCGTCTCCTCCCCACAACACGTACTCACTCCCCTACCCACAGGATTGGATCCACACGCGCGAAGCCATCGACACGGATTACACACACCCACCACAAGACCCCTCATCCACCTCGGCCCTAGACGACCCCACGGCAGCAAGCGGCAGCGGCGGCGCACACCACAGCGCCAAACCCAACTCCACTTCAGCGGCAGGCGCCGCAGCAGCAGCAGCAGCCGCCGCCCGGGCCCCCTACATCCCCGTGCCCGAGGACAGCGCGCGCGTCAACAACGCCTGCCCGATCTGCCAGGAGAAGTTTGAGATGAAGTGGCTCGACGAGGCCCAGGAGTGGGTGTGGACGGATGCGTTGAGGGTCGGCGGGCGCGTGTTTCATGCCAGCTGTCATCGGGAGGCATACGGTGCGCAGGCGGGGATGGGGCAGGGGCAGGGGGTGTTGGGGAAGAGGAAGGCTGAGGTACGTTCTGATTTTGGTTTTTTCTTCGCTGCTGAGATGAGCTTTGATGGGATGGAGTGCTGACCGTTTTGCGATAGGATGATGCCACTGGGGGACTGACAGGGAGGAAGTAAATGCACGGGAAATCAGCGCGCGCTACCTTCACCGTCAAGCACTATGCCGGCGAGGTGGAGTACCCCGTCAAGGGGCTCGTTGAGGAAAACGGCGAGGTCATCTCGGGCGACCTGATGAACCTGATCAACTCGAGCAAGAGCTCTTTCGTCGCTCGTCTCTTTGGGCAGGAGGTTCTCAAGACCGTCGTTCACCCGCAAGAGCGGACAACGGTTATGCAGGCCTCCGTCAGCTCCCGGCCCATGCGCGCGCCCAGCATCATGTCGAGGCGCGGGCGGCCCTCGGCTTACTGAGTAGCCGGACTCTGCCAGCCATCACGCAGCGCCTGGCATCTCGCGGAGTCGTAATTGGGGTCGTGGCAAGCCTGGCCCAAAGGGACTGTGGCAATCAGTCGGCCCACTGACTGTCTGGTTTAGGTTGGCCCAGTCGTTGGGTTGATGGGCTAGCACGCGTCTCCCGGAAAGCACTTGCCAGTTGGGAAATGTCGGATTGATACCGAGGCATCCACGTCGACAGCGAGCGCGTTGGGCTGCGAGCTGACTCACGGCGATAAGGGGCACCCTCC